CTGGTACCTTTTGATAGCTATTATTTGTGTGTGGCTCTGTCCTGTATGTTCTCCCATTTATTTGTATTGTAGTCCTGTCATGTAGTCTTGTCATTTTAATGTTATATTTAACATTGCCATAAAAGCGGGAGGTATGGCTAGCCACAAAACCAGGTTCAACCCACCATTTTTTCTTAAAATGTCCTGTACCAAGTCAGGAAAATGGCCATTGTTATATTATAGTTCGTTTCAGTGTGTGTTGCATTTTAGTGTTGTGTTTCTGTTGTGTCATTGTTCTCCTCTTATATTTGATGTGTTTCCCTCAGTTTTAGTTTGTAACCCGAATTTGTTTTTTTCTCAATCAATTTATGAATTTCGAATGGTGGTATACTACTGTTGCCTTTATTCATATTAGAAAATAATCTTTTTCGTGCACATCATCTTTTCAATAGAATGTTCTGTGCTGCGCACAACACTTTCCATTAGAAAATGATCTTTGTTGTAAACAGCATTTTTTTAATAGAAAGCTCTGTGCTGCGCACAACACTTTCCATTAGAAAATGATCTTTGTTGTAAGCAGCATTTTTTCAATAGAATGCTCTGTGCGACGCACAACTCTTTCCATAATAATAATTTTTTTCCAATAGAATGTTCTGTGCTGCGCACAGTAGTTTCCATAATAAAAAATGATCTTTGTGGTCAACAGCAATTTTTCAATAGAAAGCTCTGTGCTGCGCACAACACTTTCCATTAGAACATGATCTTTGTTTTAAACAGCATTTTTCAATAGAATGCTCTTTTCGACGCACAATACTTTCCATAAGTTTTTTTTTTGCAATAGAATGTTTTGTGCTGTGCACAGCAGTTTCCAAAATAAAAGATGATCTTTGTGGTCAACAGCATTTTTTTCAATAGAATGCTCTGTGCTGCGCACAACACTTTCCATAATGAAACGACTTATTCATTCAAAGAACAGATTCATCGCAATACATTAATTTGTGCTGTGCAAGTTATATCAGCACCAACATAACATGAAGAAAACTACTGGCTTGAACAAACTCTAACATGGTCAGATAAGCATATGAAAAATTGAAATTGCCGTAATAATACAGAAGGAACAGAGGATACTACTGAAGAAACAGACTTGAAGCATACTTTTTATTCAAAATGGCAAGCACAGGTAAATATGAAAAATTCCATAATCAAAAATAATTCCAACTTTAAATAATAAGCTGTTAGAAGGTACATCAAAGAGTTTACCATAACTATCAATACAGGAAAAGCATCTTACTCTATCATACTGGTATACTATATAACAATAAAATGCTCCGCAGGGCGCAGCTTGATACGACCGCAGAGGTCGAACCCTGAACAGTTGGGGGAAGTATGGACACAACATTCAAGCTTGATACAGCTTTGGATTTGGATTGTGATTAAATATTTGACACAGCATAGGTTTCTAACACAGATTGAATGTGGTCTAAGAACTTAAAAATTTTAAATTGGACATTCACCTATTATGGTCCAATATTCAAAATCTAAATACATGGTTAGATTCAGCATATCAAAGAACCCCAAGAATTCAATTTTTTATGAAATCAAACAAAGTTTAATTTTGGACCCTTTTGACCTCAATGTGGACAAAGTTGATAACGGGGCCCAAAAATCAAAAATCTAAATACATGGTTAGATTCAGCATATCAAAGAACCCCATATATTCAATTTTTGTTGAAATCAAACAAAGTTTAATTTTGGACCCCGATTTGGACCAACTTGAAAACTGGGCCCATAATCAAAAATCTAAATACATGTTTAGATTCAGCATATCAAAGAACCCTAAGAATTCAATTTTTGTTAAAATCAAACTAAGTTTAATTTTGGACCCTTTGGACCTTAATGTAGACCAATTTGAAAACGGAACCAAAATTTAAGAATCTAAATACACAGTTAGATTCGGCATATCAAAGAACCCCAATAATTCAATTTTTGATGAAATCAAACAAAGTTTAATTTTGGACCCTTTGGACCTCAATGTGGACCAATTTAAAAACGGGGCCCAAAATCCAAAAAATAAATATACGGTTAGATTCAGCATATTAAAGAACCCCATGAAATCAAGAATAAAACCCCATTGAAATTGGTCAAGAAATAAGCAATTTATAGGAAGTATCTTCTTTTGCACAATCCTGTGCTATTAAATATTTCTTGCTATTGCGCAATACTGTACAATTGACAATTTCTTGCTATTGCGCAATATTGTGCTATTGGATATTTCTTGCTATTGCGCAATACTGTGCAATTGAAGATTTCTTGCTATTGCGCAATACTGTGCAATTGAAGATTTCTTGCTATTGTGCAATACTGTGCAATTGAAAATTTCTTGCTATTGCACAATACTTATTATATAATAATTTACACATCCTGTTTGGTGTGTATCTCCTACCATATCATTATTATTTGATTTAAATATAAATCAGAAATAACCAACTTAAAATGGAAAATTTTAAAAGAAACAAAAAAGAAAAAAAGAAAATAAGGAAAAAAAAATAAATCCCCCCCCAAAATTTTTTGAACCCCCATTATGATTCATCACCCCCAAACTCAATCCCAGCCTTCCCTATGTGGTATGGTACCTTGCAGTACAATTTCAGAGAGATCCATACACTTGAACACAAGTTATTGTCTGGAAACTAGAAAAAAATGTGTTTTTTGGCCCCTTTTTGGCCCCAAATTCCTAAACGTTTAGGGCAATTACCCCCAAACTCAAACCCAGCTTTCCCTTTGTGATATGGAACCTTGTAGTACAATTTCAGAAAGATCCATACACTTACACACAAGTTATTGTCATGAAACTAGAAAAATGCTTGTTTTTTGCCCCTTTTTTGGCCCCTAATTCCTAAAATTTGGAGGCAATTACCCCCAAAATCAATCCCAGCATTCCTTTAGTGATATGGAACCTTGTGGTACAATGTCAGAGAGATCCATACACTAACACACAAGTTATGTCTGGAAGTTACAAAAATGCTTATTTTTGGCCCCTTTTTGGCCCCTAATTCCTTTACTGTTATTACCATAACCCCCAAAATCAATCCCAACCTTCCTTTTGTGGTATTGAACCTTGTGGTAAAATTTCATAAAGATCCATTCACTTAAACTAAAGTTAGAGTGCGAAAACCAATGTGTCTTCGGACGACGCCAGACGACGCCGACGACGCTGGACGACGACGACGCCAACGTCATACCAATATACGACCACAAAAATTTTTTTGCGGTCGTATAAAAATACAAGAAAATGCAAAACAATACTGTATAAAAGAATGCTAACAGTTACCAAAAGCATCCTCTAGATGTCTGTTTTTGTGTTATCGGGATGAGGTCTCATTAAGCATATCCGATTTTTTGTATCTATATCACAGAACTTAAACTGCTTAAATGAAATCATGCAGTCCTACGCATAATATCGGTAGCTGTACTTTGTAGATTTCACAAAGCAATGCCATAGACAATGCAAAAAACAGGGTCTTGTGCAATGGCCAGAATAAGTTTACAGAATTTCAATGCAGAAAAATGAAAGAAATATTTTAGCCTTTCATCCAACTATAAATTGATGAATTGATGTTGATCCCAAAAATACCACATGCAAAGATTGATCAACAGTATAATAATAAACTTATCAAAATGAAATAAAAAACCACAAAATATATTGTGCCAAAAAAGAAGATTTTAGGAAAATTCATAAGTTTTTTTACTGGAAAAATGGATGTGAAATACCACTGATTATTAAATTCCGACAGTAAAGTTAAGTAATACAAATATTGTGTTCATTGATATCTGAGACGTCACTGCAAACATACTTCAGATGATAAAATAATAAAACATAAAGTGTCAGAATAAGTAATGATTTTTTACAGGAGACTCTTGTACTCACATGGATGCATCCTTAGACCAAGTTATAAGATTTGAAGGTCACAACGTATCTAAGAACTGAACTTGGGACATAAACCTTGTCAATGAAGTGTAAATATGGGCATAAGTGACCTACTATCTTTTTTTTGCAAGCTGTTCTTCTTCTCTAGATGCATTGTTACACTAAATTATATGATTATTCATCACAGTGTAACTGACAACTGAACTCAGACTTAACATAAGTAAATGCTAATTAAAACTTTAAGCATAAAATATGGATCATCTGGCATTTTCTTAAGCAACATCTCAAGTCTCTCCTAGATGAATCTTCCCATCAAGATATATGGCAGTATTCAACACCCTTTGTAAGAGGTTCTTTTAAAAACAAATGGCAAAATTTAAAAGCACATTCTTCAAGTTTTATACCTTAGAGTTCTATATTCAGTTTTGCTCTTACTCCTAAATGCTCTTTGGTTAAAGAAGCAGCAAATGCTAATTTTAAAGTCTTTGGTTTTACCTGGCAAGGGTTTGAACCCACAATCTAACACACTAACAAGACTGTGGCGGTAAATAAATATGGTCCAACTCTCTTCCATACTTTTATTTGCAAAAAGCATGTAATAAGTCATGACTATGATAGTTCAATGATTTTGGCCTTAATAATGATGTTTTTTTAAAGATTGTATCTGCAAAGTGGCCAGTATATACATATATGCAAATTTATTTCTGAATTTACCATGGCATTTTTGTTTCTTGTTTTTTTAAATGCTTAACAGTCATGAAAGTTCTTCTACACAACTTTTTTTAGCCTTATTATGTATTGTAAGGTATGACTTGGTATGTCCCAAATTATAATTGTTCATGGTCTCTGCAGGTCTTTGATTTTGAAATTAAATATTTCATTTATCAGTTTCTGAAAACTGGCTATTGACAGGTACACTGAGATTACTTTAATACTTCTGATTTTATTACTTGAGGCACTCATAATATATTACAACTATTGACTATATGATAAATCATTTCATGTTTTTGCACTGATTGTGTGTCATGGATGGACACCCCATATCCTTTGTTTTTCTATTAAACAATGTCAACCACAAATGAGAAGTAAATGCTTACAGCTGCTACAAACTTTAATGGGTTATCAATAAATATGTTGAATGAATTCAATAAGTTCATGTTATGCATTGCATACAATTAGTTGTCTGTGACCAAAGAAGAAGTTGATGAAAATATGTACACAAAATGTTATTATGTACAAATAAATAATTTGATGAATTCCTTGCTGCAAATTCAGTTCTCTACACATCTGCTCTCATCATCTTTTTCTTTTAAAAGTTTTCTTTAAATCTTTAGCCTTAATAGCCTTTCCTGAATGCTCTGACTGTTTATGATCAGTATGTATGAAGTCATACAAAAGTTTAGCACTTGATTTATTGTCTAACAGTTCACCTATCTGGTCTTCAGACATACTGCAAAGTTCTGCAATATTTTCCACTTTATTCATGATTTTTCTGTAATTCTTTATATTAACACCAGGCATTCTTAACAAGAAATCCTGTAAAATATGATCAAAACTTCAAAGCTCCATATTTTTATAATTTTTAAAATATTATGTAAAACATTTCAATTTTCACAGTTTTTAGTAAAACATGTATTTAAATAGTCACATACAAGGGAGATAAGTCTGGTTTGTAATTGTCACTAAAACTCTTTTTTGAAGCCAATTATGTACAGGGGATAATATATTCTTATATACTTAATATACAACTGCTTTTGATTTCTTAAAGTGTGTGATTGTCTAACTTCCATAAAATTTCAGTTGAAGTTCATGGTTTATGTATGTGAACATTGTGACTTGGATGGATAGTTGTCTCATTGGCACTCATACCACATCTTCTTATTTATATGATATTACAATTCTTCAATGCAATAATATAAAGTGTGTTTCTTTTTTCTTTCTGTCAAACAGTCTTGACTTTGTTGAACATTATTACTGAAATTACATTAAAAATTAGAGCTTTCATTGTTCATGTGAATGCAAAGTTTTGCAAAAGTTGCATGAGACATTCTACTATAAAATTACAAATTTTGTATTTTATGGGTAGTTCCCATTATATGAAATATAAAATTAATTATGAATGTAAATATACAAACACAGTGACATTTCCTGGGGCATGAAAATATGGTTATCCCTGGATGCCCCTTCCAGGTATAAAACCATTGCTTAAGTATGAGCTTTTGATTTTGCCATTTGATTACTGACTTTCCGTTTCGAATTTTCCTCAGAGTTCGGTATTTTTGTTATTTTACTTTTTGCTTAAGTGAGGTGCCTAATTAGCTGTGCAAGTTGTATAAATTAACAGCTACATCTGGATGGAACAGGGACATTTAATACCATGCCATTTGTAGGGTGAATGCCAGGCTTTCCATATGCTAAAGAACCCTCACTGCACAGGGTTAGCAAAAACCTCGGGAAATACTGGGAAAACCCGGGTTTTACTGAGTTTTACTGGGTAATACTGGGCAATACTGGGTAATATGAAATACTGTCCTGAATCTTTAAGAGTTGTCAGTGCTTAATTTCAAATACAATACATAAAAGATATATGTAAAACATCAATAATAACACAGATTTTTTTATATTGCATTGATTATCTTTACAAATGTTGGTGACATGTCCCCTTAGGATGTTTATTTAGCAATCTAATGTGTAGCAAAGATTTACACTAGAAATTATTTCTTCAAACTTTAGCAACTAAAAATTGCATACTTAATTGTAATCTTCCTATTTAGAATTATTGGAGACAAGGAAGATTTGAAATTTTTATCCACTGAAATTGACTCTCTAAGTTTATCTGTATAAGATGTATATATTTAGCAATAATACTATGAAACTACAATATTTCTTTACTATTCGGTGTAAAAATAAGCTTAAAAATCATATTGTCAAGTATTGCCAAGTATTACCAATTTCAGGAAGTATTGCCCAGCCCGGGAAAACCCGACACCAGGTTTCCCCACCAAGGTAATACTTTGACAACCCTGCACTCGCAACAACTCTCTAATGGGGCTCTTAGTGGGCTGCTGCAAGGCAGAATGTCTGCTCCTATCTAACAAATTCTAATTTTCCAGTGGAAGCCCAAATTTCTGGCTCTTAATCCCAATCATTCCGTCATGCAGAAACTGCAGAAACTGCCTCTTAAATTAATTGTTAATTTATTCTGGCCATAATTTGCATGAAATTATTGCTACTGGACATTAAGCAAGCAAAAAACAATCAATTAATCAATGACATTACCTGAGGATTATGACTGTATCTTTCTGTCCATTCACTATCAGCTTCAGCCGAGTTAATTTTCATCGCTGCTTCAGCATCTGGTTGTTGTCTGCCTTGCTGTAGAAAGAAATAGATTTAACATACATATCTGTGCTATTGATTAAACACTTGCATGTAGCAGTAGATATAAAGGATTATTTTTAACATGGAAACACATTAAGGTTATCAAATTTTTAAATACTGGTCTTATAAGCCCAAAAAACTTACCTTCTTCTTTCAGTAAAAGTGAGTTAAATGTTTATGCATTAGATGCACAGATTAATTTGAAAATTATAAGCTTCCACATTTGTTTTCTTTTTAGAAAAACATGATTCTTAATTTGATTCTAATATGACGTTCTTCAAACGCTTTGAGTACACACTTAAGACTTAAGAATGTAAGGATTTTCCTGGAAAATGCTCGTTGGGAAACTGAAAGTCGTAAAAACATGAAAACATAAACAAAGGATGGTAAGAATTTGTATAATGTCCATATCTTTTTAAATGAAAGTAAGATGGTCAATTAAATTCATCCAAATCTGTCTTAGTATGTTATTGTAAATCGTTTAAGAATGTCACTTATTCAATTTTCTTCGTCGTTTACATCAACATTAATAGTGTGTTCAATTACGGGAACAGCAAACATTTCCCTTCACATAAAGCGCTTCGATCCAAAAGAATTGCTGTCTTTGTCCTATAAGAATAGAAATAATTCATAGGGGCTTGAATTTATATTGATTTTGCCACGGGTTGGCCCTTTAAGCTGATATTTTACCCCCTCGCTGTCGCTTGTGGTAAAATATTTAGCATAAAGGGCCAACCCGTGGTAAAATCAAGATAAATTCAAGCCCCCATGAATTATTTCTTAATTATATTATATATATAAAATTAAAGAACCTTAGTGAGCACGCTCACATACCCCACGTCCTCACATTGTCATTGGAGAAATAAAATATGTGTAAGAAAAAAAAATTGAATCATAATTTCCTGTCAATATGCACATCTACATAGTATGTCCTTATTATCTACAAAGTTTCATGAAATTATGTTGTGTGGTTTCAGAGGAGTTGCGATGAAAAACTGTTGCAGAAGACATTGAAGCAAATAAGTTCAAAGGGGCGTAACTCCTAGAAAAAATATTGAATCATAATTTCCTGTCGATATGCACATCAACATAGTATGACCTTATTATCTACAAAGTTTCATGAAATTCTGTTGTGTGGTTTCAGAGGAGTTGTGATGACAAACTGTTGCAGTAGTACATTGAAGCAAATAAGTTCAAAGGGGTGTAACTCCTAGAAAAAAAATTGAACCGTAATTTCCTGTCGATATGCACATCTACATAGTATGTCCTTATTATCTAAAAAGGTTTCATGAAATTCTGTTGTGTGGTTTCAGAGGACTTGTGATGACAAACTGTTGCAGTAGTACATTGAAGCAAATAAGTTCAAAGGGGTGTAACTCCTAGAAAAAAAATTGAACCGTAATTTCCTGTCGATATGCACATCTACATAGTATGTCCTTATTATCTAAAAAGGTTTCATGAAATTCTGTTGTGTGGTAATTCTGTTGTGTGGTATCAGAGGAGTTGCGATGACAAACTGTTGCAGTAGTACATTAAAGTAAATAAGTTCAAAGGGGTGTAACTCCTAGAAAAAAAATTGAACCGTAATTTCCTGTCGATAAGCACATCTACATAGTATGTCCTTATTATCTAAAAAGGTTTCATGAAATTCGGTTGTGTGGTATCAGGAGTTGTGATGACAAACTGTTGCATAGTACATTGAAGCAAATAAGTTCAAAGGGGCGTAACTCCTAGAAAAAAAATTGAACCGTAATTTCCTGTTGATATGCACATCTACATAGTATGTCCTTATTATCTACAAAGGTTTCATGAAATTCTGTTGTGGTATATCAGAGGAGTTGCGATGACAAACTGTTGCAGTAGTACATTAAAGTAAATAAGTTCAAAGGGGCGTAACTCCTAGAAAAAAAATTGAATCGCAATTTCCTGTCGATATGCACAACTACATAGTATGTCCTTATTATCTAAAAAGGTTTCGTGAAATTCTGTTGTGTGGTTTGAGAGGAGTTGCGATGACAAGAAACAGGACTGACGGACTGACGGACGGACAGACGGACAGACGGACGGACGGACAGGTCAAAAACATTATACCCTCCGCAACTCGTTGCGTGGGGTATAACAAGAGGCTGTCAGAGTGACAGCAAACCGGATTTTCCTGCAGAGGTCGACCCTGAACAGTTGAGCATAAACAATATTTAAGCTTAAAACAGCTCTGAATTTGGATTGTGATCGAATATTTGACACAGCATAGGTTTGTGACACAAAATGAATGTGGTCAAAGAACTGATAAATTTGAAATCAGACATTTACCTGTTATGGTCCAATATCCAAAATCTAAGTACATTGTTAGAATCAGCATATCAAAGAACTGCAAGAATTCAATTTTTGATGAAATCAAACAAAAGTTTAATTTAGGACCCTTTGGACCTCAATGTGGTATTATCTAATTTATATGAAAATAAATACAGGTTTAGATTCAGCATTTCAAAGAACCCTATATATAGATTCAATTTATGTTGAAATCAAACACAGAATAATTTTGGACCCAGATTTGGACCAACTTGAAAACTGGGCCCAAAATCAGAAATCGAAATATATGTTTATTAATAGACAAACTAAGCTTAGTTTTAAAGGAGTTCGCTTCATCAAAAAAAATATATATATAGCATTCAGAAAATAAGTTTATACAGAATAACAAACAAACCTACCACAAAATTCTTCAAATAATTTACCAAAGAAAAAAATGTCATTTATCATTAATACAATATCTATTAAAAATCTATAAAACTTATCTGTAATTATCTTCAAAATGTCTAATAATGAACAGTAAATTTCAAACTTTATTTATTCCGTCCTACAGATCTTATCATCATCAACACTTAGGAAACAGAAAATTTTCAAATAAATCTGTCACTCCAATTACAATTGTGTGATAAGATATTTACCAGATGCTTTGTTATCTGAAAACAGGTGAAAATTATTTAAAAACACTAAGTGTAATCAAACTTTATATATATAATTAATAATTCCCAATATTTTTTCTTTCATTTGTCACAAACTAATATAGATCTGCAACTTATCTATCAATGTCAACAATTTTATCTACACAATGTAATGTAATGAAATATATCCTTTATTAATAAAATGCTTTGCAGGGGTGCAGCTTGATACGACCGCAGAGGTCGAACCCTGAACAGATGGGGCAAGTATGGACACAACATTCAAGCTTGATACAGCACTGAATTTGGATTGTAATTAAATATTCAACACAGCATAGGTTTCTGACACAGAATGAAAGTGGTCTAAGAACTTAAAAATTTTTAATTTACCTATTCAAACCATATCATTATTATTTGATTTTATATATAAATCAGAAATAACCAATTTAAAATGGAAAATTTTAAAGAAAAAAAAAATGAAAAAAAAATCCCCCCCCCCCAAATTTTTTGAACCCCCTTATGATTCATCACCCCCAAACTCAATCCCAGCTTTCCCTTTGTGGTATGGTACCTTGCAAAACAATTTCAGAGAGATCCATACACTTGAACACAAGTTATTGTCTGGAAACTAGAAAAATGCTTGTTTTTTGGCCTCTTTTTGGCCCCAAATTCCTAAACGTTTAGGGCAATTACCCCCAAACTCATACCCAGCTTTCCCTTTGTGATATGGAACCCTGCAGTACAATTTCATAAAGATCCATACACTTACACACAAGTTATTGTCCTGAAACTAGAAAAATGCTTGTTTTTTTGCCATTTTGTGGCCCCTAATTACTAAAATTTTGAGGCAATTACCCCCAAAATCAATCCCAGCCTTCCCTTTGTGGTATGGTACCTTGCTTTACAATTTCAGAGAGATCCATACACTTGAACACCAGTTATTGTCTGGAAACAAGAAAAATGCTTATTTTTGGCCCCTTTTTGGCCCCTTATTCCTAAACTTTTTAGGCAATTACCCCCAAACTCAATTCCAGCTTTCCCTTTGTGATATGGAACCCTGTAGTACAGTTTCATAAAGATCCATGCACTTACACACAAGTTATTGTCATGAAACTAGAAAAAATGCTTGTTTTTTGCCACTTTTTGGCCCCTAATTCCTAAAATTTGGAGGCAATTACCCCCAAAATCAATCCCAGCATTCCCTTTGTGATATGGAACCTTGTGATACAATGTCAGAGAGATCCATACACTTACACACAAGTTATTGCCATGAAACTAGAAAAATGCTTGTTTTTTGCCTCTTTTTGGCCCATAATTCCTAAAATTTGAAGGCAATTACCCCCAAAACCAATCCCAGCATTCCCTTTGTGATATGGAACCTTGTGGTACAATGTCAGAGAGATCCATACTCTTACACACAAGTTATGTCTGGAAGTTACAAAAATGTTTATTTTTGGGCCCTTTTTGGCCCCTAATTCCTTAACTGTTGGTACCATAACCCCCAAAATCAATCCCCACCTTCCTTTTGTGGTATTGAACCTTATGGTAAAATTTCATTGAGATCCATTCACTTAAACTAAAGTTAGAGTGCGAAAACTAATGTGTCTTCGGACGACGACGACGCCAACGTCATACCAATATACGACCACAAAAATTTTTTTGCGGTCGTATAAAAATAGATTATTATCTAATGAAAATGATATTTGCAAATCACAATTTCTGTTCAAAGGGAAATAACTCAATCATATAATAAGTAAAACTTTTGGCTACTAAAAGGTCGACAACTCAACAACGAGAAAAGCTAAAATCGTGAAAATTGAACTTGACCTTCATTTAGTCACAGGAAACAACATATCTAAATTTGAAAAATTTCGTCAAAGCATTTGCATGTTAATGAACGGACACTGTTTGGCAGCTGCCCGCTCGCCGTACATCCCCAAATCAATAACCGATTTTTCCTTCGAAAATCCGGTTAATAAAAGGGAAAATATTTTCTTTATAGCTAAATGAAATGAACACTTATTCATGGAAATTGATTTATAATTTTTAATAGGAGTTTTTTGGATCAATCATTTTCTGGAATAAAAAAAAAAAACTTTCTTGACATTTGACAAAATAGTGACAAAACTGGTTTATTTGGTGTTATATAATTTATAATGATCTCATCCTGAATTGAACAGTGATTTTCAAAAGTTACCAGCCTTGGCCAATTTAGAGATTCTTTTTGAATACAAACTGTGTATACTTAAGTTTATCTATAAAAATAGGGTAAGATATTATAAGATTGAAAATCGAAACACAAAATGAATGCTTGTTTGCTTCCTGACAATCTAATTGTATTGTCCTTATAAGAAAATCTATGTAAACTTATTATGTAGAAGAGTATTTACATATTTTTATCCCTTATCTCCGGTATCCACTATTTGATCAAATGTACCAGCAAGGAGAACACAGTTAGTAGACTGTTTGGTGTCATTTTACTTCATATTAGAATCAAATGACTACATTGTGCCAGGGACAAACAACACATATAGAAAATGCATGATCATGTACTGCCATTATGACCTATAAACAGAGCACTGATGAACAACGTCACTTCTAATGTTCATAATGTACTGATATATACCTTCAGTTCTTCAAACATTTCTGCAGTTACATATGGACTCTGACACCACAGGATTCTCAGCTTAGGAAAATGTAGTGTCAATAATGTCAGCCTAGAGGACACATCTTGTATAGACACATCACTTGATATTGGGTATTTTCCCTGAAATTATAAATTTGGCAGTCAATTTGAATCAAAATTCTCCTGACTTTAATCCATATTTTCAAACAATAAATTATGAAACAAACTGACATCTTCAAACACTGAATATAGAAACATAAATGTATCTCCAAATAATACATATATATGACGTATGTAAATTGGGACTAAATTTTTGTCATTGTCCTTCCAGACAGATATTAGAAACTTACTTGTGGCAAACCTTGTGTAGATGACTATTAATATTATTATATAAAGTATATGCATATCCTTCAAAAGATAAAAGCTGGATATAGCTTTGTACATTCAGATATGTAAATAGGAGCTAAAATTATGACTTTGCCTTTACAGAGAAACATTTTAACTTTTCTCATAACTTGTTCTGTGGCAGGAAAAACGATAGGTATCACTGAAAAACTTTACAGGTATTCATAAATTTTGAGACACATACAGATTGATTTCTACATACCCCTTAACCTTTGATTGATGTGGTATCATAATGAATAAAATGCTCTGCAGGGTGCAGCTTGATACGACTGCAAAGGTTGAACCCTGAACAGTTGGGGCAAGTATGGACAATACATTCAAGCTTGATACAGCTCTGAATTTGGATTGTGATTAAATAATTGACACATCATAGGTTGCTGACACAGAATGAATGTGGTCAAAGAACTGAAAAATTTGAAATTGGACCTTTGTCTATTATGGTCCAATATCCAAAATCTAAATACATGGTTAGATTCAGCATATCAAAGAACCACGAGAATTTAATTTTGATGAAATCAAACAAAGTTTAATTTTAGACCCTTTGGACCTCAATGTGGACCAATTTGATAACAGGGCCAAAAATACAAAATCTAAATACATGGTTAGATTCAGAATATTAAAGAACCCAACATATGCAAGTTTTGATGAAATCAGACAAAATTTAATTTTGGACCCTTTGGACCAACTTGAAAACATGGCCCAAAATCAAAAATCTAAATACATGTTTAGCATATTCAAAGCATATCAAAGAACTCCTTCAATTGAACTTTTGTTATAATCAAACTTATGTTTAATTTTGGACCCTTTGGACTTTAATGTAGACCATTTTGAAAACCGGTCCCAAATTAAAAATATAATTACACAGTTAGATTCAGCATATCAAAGCACCCCAAGAATTCAATATTTTTAAAAAAATCAAACAAAGTTTAATTTTGGACCCTTTGGACCTTAATGTGGACCAATTTGAAAACAGGCCCCAAAATTAAAAATCTAAATACATGGTTAGAATCGGCATATAAAAGAACACCAATAAGTCAAGTTTTGATGAAATCAAACTAAATTTGATTTTAGGCCCTTTGGCCCCTTTTTTCCTAAACTGTTTGGGTCATAACCCCCAAAATCAATCCCAAACTTCCTTTTATGGTATGGAACCTAGTGGTATAATTTCATAGTAATCCATAGACTTATACTCAAGTTATTGTCCAGAAACAAGTTTTTGGCCCCTTTTCTGCCTCTAATTCAAAAGGTTTGGGACATGACCCCTTTAATCAATCCCAACCTTCCTTTTGAGGTATTAAACCTTGTGGTAAAATTTCATAGAGATCCAAACACTTATACACAAGTTCTTGCCCTGAAACAAGAAAAATGCTTGTTTTGGCCCCTTTTTGGCCCTTAATTCCTAAACAGCTAGGACAATAACCCCCAAAATCAATCCCAACCTTCCTATTGTGGTATGGAACCTTGTGTTACAATTTCATAGAGATCCATACACTTATACTCGTTATTTTCTGGAAACCAAAATGTCTTCAGATGACGACACAGACATCGCCATAACATAATAAGAAAGCAAAAATTTTGCATAAAAACAAACACAATAAAAACCTAATCATTTACATTATTTTCACCTCATATACACTGGGTCTTTTGTTATAAAACAAAAATCTTCAAGAAGATTATATTATGGCAGCATTCCAATAAAAACATCATTAACAAGAAATGATTGTAACAGGATGCTGTTACGAAGTCTCCCAAACGAAGCTCCCATAATTCGTAATTCCCAGGGTCGCCTGACATTGGGCAACGTCCAGTGAAAAATGGTTTGGTCCAGTAAAGTTATATGCATTAGTGATGCCTGGGGACTAACTTTGTATATCATTCAAATCCATCTTGGCATGACAAACCAGAATATATATGGTTTAGGGGTGGGGATCTCGACCATTTACAAGATACTTGAACATTGGGGGTAGGGAGGAACCCCTGGGGACTGGCCCTATACGTCATTCAAATGTTCATTACATGACGAACAGGAATATATATGGTTTAGGGGTGGGGATCTCAACCATTTACAAGATATTAGAACATTGGGGGTGGGGGGAACCCCTGGGGACTGACCGTGTATATCATTCAAACCATCTTAGCATGACAAACCAGAATATATATGGTTTAGGGGTGGGGATCTTGACCACTTAGAAGATATTAGAACTTTCTTAAATGGCAGGGGGTGGGGGTGACCCCTGGGGACTAACCCTGTATTTCATTTGATGTGCTTTATCAAGACAAACCAGAATATATATGGTTTAGGGGTGGGGATCTCGACCATTTACAAGATATTAGAACTTTCTCAAATGGCAGGGGGTCGGGATGACCCCTGGGGACTTGCCCTGTTTATCATTCAAACCATCTTAGCATGACAAACCAGAATATATATGGTTTAGGGGTAGGGATCTTGACCACTTACAAGATATTAGAACTTTCTTAAATGGCAGGGGGTGGGGGTGATCCCTGGGGACTAACCCTTTTTATTACATTTGATGTGCTTTATCATGACAAACCAGAATATATATGGTTTAGGGGTGGGGATCTTGACCATTTACAAGATATTAGAACTTTCTCAAATGACAGGGGGTCAGGATGACCCCTGGGGACTAACCCTGTATATCATTCAAACCATCTTAGCATGACAAACCAGAATATATATGGTTTAGGGGTGGGGATCTTGACCACTTAGAAGATATTAGAACTTTCTTAAATGGCAGGGGGTGGGGGTGACCCCTGGGGACTAACCCTGTATTTCATTTGATGTGCTTTATCATGACAAACCAGAATATATATGGTTTAGGGGTGGGGATCTCGACCATTTACAAGATATTAGAACTTTTTCAAATGGCAGGGGGTCGGGATGACCCCTGGGGACTAACCCTGTATACCATTCAAACCATCTTAGCATGACAAACCAGAATATATATGGTTTAGGGGTGGGGATCTTGACCACTTAGAAGATATTAGAACTTTCTTAAATGGCAGGGGGTGGGGGTGACCACTGGGGACTAACCCTGTATTACATTTGATGTGCTTTATCATGACAAACCAGAATATATATGGTTTAGGGGTGGGGATCTCAACCATTTACAAGATATTAGAACTTTCTCAAATGGCAGGGGGTCGGGATGACCCCTGGGGACTAACCCTGTATATCATTCAAACCATCTTAGCATATCAAACCAAAATATATATGGTTTAGGGGTGGGGATCTTGACCACTTACAAGGTATTAGAACTTTCTTAAATGGCAGGGGGTGGGGGTGACCCCTGGGGACTAACCCTGTATTTCATTTAATGGGCTTTATCATTTAGAACATTTTCAATTAAAAAGATTGTGTCTATCACAAACGGTTTTCAATTTATAATCATTTGAAAATTTAAAAAAATAAAATCCCATAGGGTTCTATAGTAAAACCCTCTTTTCTTTTTGCCCCTCAAAGTACCCCTTTATAAACCCCATTGCACAAACAAAACCCTGATTGCACCACTAGACATGTTAGTCTAACATATTGTGAAACCCTAAGTTAATCTGACAAGCGGTTTTGGAGAACGGGTGCGGACAAGTTCAAATTTAAAAGCGGCGGAAGAAGAAGAAGAAGAAGAAGAAGAAGAAGAAGAAGAAGAAGAAGAAGAAGAAGAAGAAGAAGAAGAATAATAATAAGAACTGAGCAAAAACAATAAGTCTTCCCAAACTTCGTTTGGGAGACTTAATAACAGGAAATTTAAAATTTTGTTTCTAATTTGACTGTGGAAAAATGAGTAATATGCTTTCTTTCGTACAAATGGGTCTCAAAATGGTAATAATAATTGACACTTACTTGTAGTGCAAAAGATTTATTTGTATCAAACTCAATCAGCAAAACTGGACGTTTGTAGTATCTACACATAGACACACACTGGTTGTATAATCGGCCATTGTTTAGAGAACCAATTAAATCACTGACACTTTTTCTTTCCACACAAATATCTGGTGTCAAAATGTAATCTCCAACCTGTCAAAACAGAAATATTTTTTACAAGTTTCTTATATCAATATAGCTCAGTATCCTCCTCAATTAATACCGTTAAAAGTTCTGCCCGCATATTGTCAATGGAGAAAATTAATAATCCTAGTACCGGTATTCTTTTTCATTAATAGTATTTCAGTTGTCTCTTTTACCAATATTGTAAGTGACTGCTTTTTTCCAGAATATTCTTCATTTATAATTTGTTTCCTCTTTTGAAATAAACTCACAAATCCTTTTAAACTATCTTTGTCTCTTTTTTACATTTTATATTTTCAGTTTGTTGATAGGAGCTAGGATATTAAATTCTATCAAGCGCTACATTAAGTTAATACCAAATATCTTTCCATATTTCAAACTTTTGTCAGCTCTTTTCAGACTATCATGTATACAATAATAATTTGGCAAAAATAATAACAACAGTATCAATAAGAAATAGAGGACCATTGAATTTCTTTTGAAAAATTATATGAATAAATATGACTTTGTGCATATCTAATAACTCTTGATTCTAAAACAAACATCTGACAAAACTCATCAACGCACATGTTTTTTTTTCATTTGGAGAATTTGGAAAAAGATGATTGATCTTGGATAGTCTGTTAAATTCATAGACAACATGCTAAACTAAAGGCAATTTAGAGCCTGACACACTGTATAGACATTTTTGAACATTGATGTCTTTTGATATTATTTTTTTTGTGTTGTTGGGTTCAAATCTCATTGACATATCACCCATATCTCTTTTTATTCATAGTTTCTAAACTAATCATAATCGTAACTCATGAATTTCATACCTCAATTGTTACAGGTTCAATATCAATACCTCGTCTGTGAATCAGTGATGGTAGTTCACTTCTGAATTCTCTCATATCAACAATAACCTATATGATAAATAAATGAAATTATTAACTTTTGATCATAAATATTACACACAATAGGTAAATGTGGTAAAATGTATTCAACTAGTGGAACTACTGCAATCCAGTATTTTGGATATCAAATCAAAATCTATGTGCTGAGAGAGTGCCACAGTTTTGTTTTAACGAACCACAACATCTTTTTTTTTTGTGGTAGACAAATAGCTTGGTCTTTGGTCATTTTTTTGGACTTACTAATTTTTTCCTTTTTTCAGTTGCAATCAAAATTCACTAACATTTGCCTGATATACACACTTTTCAAAACCTACCATTTGATTCATTGTTCAAGGTAAACTTCATTAGGAGCAGACAAATTACAATTTCATACAGCTGTTTTATTCAATGAAATGTTTAGAAAAATTTTGTAGATATGGGCCATCATATGGCAAAGTCTATGTTTTGTAGCATAACATTATTCTAATAAAAATAGAACAGGAGATGCACAATAGAATTATCTTATAAAGATTCTAATAAAGTTTCCTTGATCAAAGGTTATATTAAGCAAAGCTGCATATACATGATATCTATATCTTTTGCAGATTTGGCAAAGTCCATGTTTTTCTATTGGAAACCCCAAAATCATTTGAATAAAAAATAGGTACACATTGCCATTAGATTCTGTACAAGTTTCATTAAAATAAAGTCACTGGTTGAAGATGAGTTATAGTTTCAAAGTGTGGATATAAAAACTAACAAATCAAAAACAAGGTCAGACGAACAGACACAATGGTCACTATATACCACTGCTTCAGTGGAGTATTATAATAATCATAAAAATTCAACTATTCTATGGTACTGTAATTAAACATCAACATTTGAAAACATGTGTTGAGACAAACTCAAGTAATGAACAGTACTGATGCATACTCAAGTCATAAAGAAGAAGACGACACACAATGAGTAAAACTTTAAGCCCTATGTCAACTGTAGCACAGCCATTAAAATTTATTTAACTCTAACTTTTCACCATACAACTGGCTATCTTTTTTGACATTTGTAATTTTTACAAGACTGACCTTTTGTTGTGACTGGGTTAAATGAAGACCTCCTTTCCTAGTATTCACTGTAGCATTAGCAGGAGTTGTGTCCCTTGCCAAATTAGGGTCATCTTCCATCTTGCCTTCTCTTTCCTCAGGTATGACCATTGCCTGCAAATCAAAAATAATTCTCATACTGCAGATAAGTTTACAGATAAGAAAATATGCATTATCAGTTTGCCTATTACACATGGTAATGTGCAATTGGTGGACTTGTCTTATTCTGAAATGAATCATTTACTTTGACACCAAAATCAGGAAGCTAAACATGAAACCACTCACTTATGGGGTATAATGCTAATCATATATCCTACTTGTGATTCTGTGATACTTGACCTATTCAGGGGCAGATTTAATAATAATAATTTCACTTTTACTAAATTAATTTGTTACAGACTTTTATAAGGCAAGCATCTAAAACTCCCACAGGAACTAAAACATCACAGGTAAACTGGTTTAAGTCATCATTATTTGATATATCAATTATGTTGGTTGTTTTTATAATTTCAATTATTTAGATTTTTTTCAAGTTAAAATTATTCTTTTTTGATAACAATAGCTTGTCAAATAAAATGAACATTCTATTCAATAACAGTTGAAAAGATTATTTAACAAGCATTCTGAGAGTATTGCATGGCAATACATAGTCCCCTACCGGGTAAAAATTCATTATACTGGAACAAAATGCTAACTTGTTCTATAACTTGTCATGGTGTAAACAAAAAGAAAATATCAAGTCAATATATTCAAGCATGACTAAAAACAGTGTGGAAAACTGAATATATGAGTGACCAAGGACCATAACTCTGCACAAAATTATCAGACCGAAACAAAAATTTGAACTTGATCTGTAACTTGTCATAATAAAACTATTTACCAATTGTCAATCAATATTTTCAAGCATGATGAAAAAAAGTGTGGAAAACCTATAACACTCTAACATTAGATATGATGTAATACAATGTATATCTATTTTCAAATTACAATCAAATATAATTAATAGTTCCAAATATTTTTTTTTTTCATTTGTCACAAACTAATATAGATTTGTAACTTGCCTATAAAATGTCAACAACTTTTATCTACACAATGTAATGTAATGAAATATATACCTTAATAAAAATAGATTATTATCTAATTAAAGGATTTCACTTCATAAAAAAATATATATATATACATGTAGCATTCAGAAAATTAGTTTATACAAAATAACATATAAACCTGCCACAAAATTCCTCAAACAATTTACCAAAGAATGTCTTTTAAAAAATGAGTTATCTCCCTTTGTACAGATTATATGGTTTAACATAGTACTCTTAACATTAGTTATGGAGTTTTTTTATGGACCATAACTCTGGACTAAATCATCAGACCGGAACAAAATTCAAACTTGATCTATAACTTGTCATGATAAAACTATATACCAAATATCAAATCAATATCTTCAAGAACGAAGAAAAAAAGTGTGGAAAGCTGAGTTGCCGGACTGACGGATGGACAGACGGACGGACGGACGGACGGACAGACAGACGGACAGAGTGCAAACCTAAAGTCCCCTTTGACTTCGTCTGTAGGGGACTACATGTAATAACAACTGCTTATTTAATGTATCCACCACATGTAAAAATAAATTAGTTAAACTTACTGATTTCTCTGAGATAAGATATTCAAATGCTTCCTTCTCCTTCCTGAGTGTGGTCAAATATCTTTGTTCTTCAACTGACCCTGTGTACATCAGGAAGTATACCCTTAAAGGTTTACCTGGAGTACTGGCTTTGTATACCTACAGAAAAATTATAGAACAATCAGTACATTTACTATTGACATAAATGTTATCTAATATTTCCCATTTACTGTGGATTCATTCATTTTTTAGTGGGCATCAATTTAAGTGGATTGAGAAAATGTTTTTTGTGGATACTTGATTTTGTGGTTTAAACAATTCTGCATATATACCTACAGGAATTTTGTTTTTTGTCAAACACTTACTGCAGTCTTGGACAACATTTACTCACAAAATCTGGAAATGTATCCCAATAAAAATAATGAATCCACATTTTTGACAACAAACAACAACTTTTTTCTATGAATTTTATTGGAGGACACTGAACATACCAGTAATCTTTTATGTACATGTAAAGAAATGGAATCATCTTTTCATTCAATTACCAGTATTTGTTTCACATTAAACTTTCTGATATAGCATCTGTTGATTCTTAGTGGTGGTTAATCTATGGATTTACAGATTTACTTCAGTGATGCAACCATTCTCCTATAGAAATTTCACATTCTTTATCAAATTAAGGTTGGAAAAAGTTTGGGCAAACATTATTTAAACAAAAAGAATATTTAATTCTGAGATTTGTTAGCAAAAGAGTATGTTAAGCATCTGCATCTACCGTATTTACCCCTTTTTATCCTTTTCAATTGTTTTTTTCTTAATATTTGCTAATCTCTTTTTAAAAATTCAACTATAGTTTATCAATGAATAGCAGGAATTTTTTACTTTTCAATATTCTAATATAATAAAATAGTCTTAAGGATGTACTTCGGTGAAATTAAAATAAATTGCTTCGCTGAGCGCAGCTGGATACAAACCGCAGAGGTCCAACCCTGAACAGTTGGGGCAAAAATGGATGCAATATTCGCTCTTGATACAGGTCTGAATTTGGATTATAATTAAATATTTGACACATAAAAGGTTTCTGACACAGAATAACTGTAGTCAAAGAACTTAGAATTGGTTATATGATTTGAATTATATTCAATTTTTGCTTTTGCGCAATACACTATGCTGTTGCTTATTAACATCCCCCCCCCCCCTCCCCTCCCCCACACACACACTTTTTTTTTGCAAAAAAAATAATTTTGCAGAATTTTTCCTATTAATTTCTGAAATCTGAAATGAGAAAAAATTGACCCCCACAATTTCTTTTTACCCCCCCCCCCCCCCTTTTTCCCCCAAAAAAATTCTTTCCCTTAAGATGTGGTCATAATCTCAATTCAAATTTCCAATGGAGTTTGCAACCATAACTACCCATTTAAATTTACCATAGTGCTAACTTAATCTATTTTATATTAGAATTAATAAAATGCTCCGCAGGGCGCAGCTTGATACGACCGCAGAGGTCGAACCCTGAACAGTTGGGGGAAGTATGGACACAACATTCAAGCTTGATACAGCTTTGGATTTGGATTGTGATTAAATATTTGACACAGCATAGGTTTCTAACACAGATTGAATGTGGTCTAAGAACTTAAAAATTTTAAATTGGACATTCACCTATTATGGTCCAATATCCAAAATCTAAATACATGGTTAGATTCAGCATATCAAAGAACCCCAAGAATTCAATTTTTGATGAAATCAAACAAAGTTTAATTTTGGACCCTTTTGACCTCAATGTGGACAAAGTTGATAACGGGGCCCAAAAATCAAAAATCTAAATACATGGTTAGATTCAGCATATCAAAGAACCCCATATATTCATTTTTTGTTGAAATCAAACAAAGTTTAATTTTGGACCCCGATTTGGACCAACTTGAAAACTGGGCCCATAATCAAAAATCTAAATACATGTTTAGATTCAGCATATCAAAGAACCCTAAGAATTCAATTTTTGTTAAAATCAAACTAAGTTTAATTTTGGACCCTTTGGACCTTAATGTAGACCAATTTGAAAACGGAACCAAAAATTAAGAATCTAAATACACGGTTAGATTCGGCATATCAAAGAACCCCAAGAATTCAATTTTTGATGAAATCAAACAAAGTTTAATTTTGGACCCTTTTGACCTCAATGTGGACAAAGTTGATAACGGGGCCCAAAAATCAAAATTCTAAATACATGGTTAGATTCAGCATATCAAAGAACCCCATATATTCATTTTTTGTTGAAATCAAACAAAGTTTAATTTTGGACCCCGATTTGGACCAACTTGAAAACTGGGCCCATAATCAAAAATCTAAATACATGTTTAGATTCAGCATATCAAAGAACCCTAAGAATTCAATTTTTGTTAAAATCAAACTAAGTTTAATTTTGGACCCTTTGGACCTTAATGTAGACCAATTTGAAAACGGAACCAAAATTTAAGAATCTAAATACACAGTTAGATTCGGCATATCAAAGAACCCCAATAATTCAATTTTTGATGAAATCAAACAAAGTTTAATTTTGGACCCTTTGGACCTCAATGTGGACCAATTTAAAAACGGGGCCCAAAATCCAAAAACTAAATACACGGTTAGATTCAGCATATTAAAGAACCCCATGAAATCAAGAATAAAACCCCATTGAAATTGGTCAAGAAATAAGCAATTTATAGGAAGTATCTTCTTTTGCACAATCCTGTGCTATTAAATATTTCTTGCTATTGCGTAATACTGTACAATTGACAATTTCTTGCTATTGCGCAATATTGTGCTATTGGATATTTCTTGCTATTGCGCAATACTGTGCAATTGAAGATTTCTTGCTATTGCGCAATACTGTGCAATTGAAGATTTCTTGCTATTGTGCAATACTGTGCAATTGAAAATTTCTTGCTATTGCACAATACTTATTATATAATAATTTACACATCCTGTTTGGTGTGTATCTCCTACCATATCATTATTATTTGATTTTAAATATAAATCAGAAATAACCAACTTAAAATGGAAAATTTTAAAAGAAACAAAAAAGGAAAAAAAGAAAAAAAAGGAAAAAAAAATAAATCCCCCCCAAAAATTTTTTGAACCCCCATTATGATTCATCACCCCCAAACTCAATCCCAGCCTTCCCTTTGTGGTATGGTACCTTGCAGTACAATTTCAGAGAGATCCATACACTTGAACACAAGTTATTGTCTGGAAACTAGAAAAAAATGTGTTTTTTGGCCCCTTTTTGGCCCCAAATTCCTAAACGTTTAGGGCAATTACCCCCAAACTCAAACCCAGCTTTCCCTTTGTGATATGGAACCTTGTAGTACAATTTCAGAAAGATCCATACACTTACACACAAGTTATTGTCATGAAACTAGAAAAATGCTTGTTTTTTGCCCCTTTTTTGGCCCCTAATTCCTAAAATTTGGAGGCAATTACCCCCAAAATCAATCCCAGCATTCCTTTAGTGATATGGAACCTTGTGGTACAATGTCAGAGAGATCCATACACTAACACACAAGTTATGTCTGGAAGTTACAAAAATGCTTATTTTTGGCCCCTTTTTGGCCCCTAATTCCTTTACTGTTATTACCATAACCCCCAAAATCAATCCCAACCTTCCTTTTGTGGTATTGAACCTTGTGGTAAAATTTCATAAAGATCCATTCACTTAAACTAAAGTTAGAGTGCGAAAACCAATGTGTCTTCGGACGACGCCAGACGACGCCGGACGACGACGACGACGACGACGACGACGACGCCGGACGACGACGACGCCAACGTCATACCAATATACGACCACACAAATTTTTTTGCGGTCGTATAAAAATATGGTGTCAAATCTTTCGTAAAAAAAAAAAGATGCAACATTTGCAGATATTTTTACTGGTCTTCCTTTATAAATATGCATTTCTTTAAACATAATTTAAAAGCAGTGTAAAGGAGGTTATTCAAATGATGTATTTGAATTACCTCCCTTACACTGCTTCAAATTATGTTTTGTACTAAGTATTTGTCCATTAACCAGGACACCCTTGTTTTTCCCCCTTTTTTGCCCCTAATTCCTAAACGGTTTGAGCCATAACCCCCCAAAGCAAATCCTAACCATCTCTTTGTGGTATGGAAACTTGTGGTATAATTTCAGAGAGATCCATACACCGTTCCACAAGTTATTGTCTGGAAACTAGAAAAATGCTTATTTTTGGCCCCTTTTTGGCCCCTAATTCCTTAACTGTTGGTACCATAACCCCAAAAATCAATCCCAACCTTCCTTTTGTGGTATTGAACCTTATGGTAAAATTTCACAGAGATCCATTCACTTAAACTAAAGTTATTTTGCAAAAACCAATGTGTTTTCGGACGACGACGACGACGACATACCAATATAAAAATCTAGAATTTAAAATTGATACAATAAGTCAGAAGAACATTAGTTATGGAACAAAATAAGCTAAAAATATTGATAGGTTATGGAGCTCCTTTTCGAGATATTTATTATTTTTTAAATGGTGGGAAAAGGCTGACTCAGACTTTTACCTTTTATTTGCATTGATAATATTTGGGTCTCAAATCGATAGAAAGAAATCTAGAATCTGCTTAAATTTTGGTAAATGAACTTTTATAAGCTATTGAAGTGTTATATGAAAAGAAAAATGGGTGTTATGGGGCAAAATATTTTACCCTGTATCGTAGGAAAAAAACAAGGAGTCTGAACATCTGACAAAAATTCCTAAGCCTGAACTAAGTACATCCTTAAATTCACATTTTGATCAGTTGGATCAGTTCATAGCATTATTTTGTGTATTCTACTACACAACAGCTTGTTAAGGCAATGAGTGGGTTAAAGTCTTGATCAGGACTAAGAACTTTATAAAATTGATACCATTTCACTTCAAATTACAATAAAAAACCTCAAAATCTGAGTATTTTCACATTCTGTTATAACACATACTCTTTAATCATTCAATTCCCAACAAATCACAGAAAGATAATTTCATAAAATATATTTCTTGTTTAATAAAATGTTCAGCAGGGCGCAGCTTGATACGACCGTAGAGGTCGAACCCTGAACAGTTGGGGCAAGTATGGACACAACATTCAAGCTTGATACAGCTCTGAATTTGGATTGTGATTAAATATTTGACACAGCATAGGTTTCTGACACAGAATGAATGTGGTCTAAGAACTTAAAAATTTTAAATTGGACATTCACCTATTATGGTCCAATATCCAAAATCTAAATACATGGTTAGATTCAGCATATCAAAGAACCCCAAGAATTCAATTTTTGATGAAATCAAACAAAGTTTAATTTTGGACCTTTTTGACCTCAATGTGGACAAAGTTGATAACGGGGCCCAAAAATCAAAAATCTAAATACATGGTAAGATTCAGCATATCAAAGAACCCCATATATTCAATTTTTGTTGAAATCAAACAAAGTTTAATTTTGGACCCCGATTTGGACCAACTTGAAAACTGGGCCCATAATCAAAAATCTAAATACATGTTTAGATTCAGCATATCAAAGAACCCTAAGAATTCAATTTTTGTTAAAATCAAACTAAGTTTAATTTTGGACCCTTTGGACTTTAATGTAGACCAATTTGAAAACGGAACCAAAAATTAAGAATCTAAATACATGGTTAGATTCGGCATATCAAAAAACCCCAATAATTCAATTTTTGATGAAATCAAACAAAGTTTAATATTGGACCTTTGGACCTTAATGTGGACCAATTTAAAAACGGGGCCCAAAATCCAAAAACTTAATACACGGTTAGATTCAGCATATTAAAGAACCCCAAGAATTCAAGAATAAAACCCCATTGAAATTGGTCAAGAAATAAGCAATTTATACGAAGTATCTTCTTTTGCACAATACTGTGCAATTGAATATTTCTTGCTATTGAGCAATACTGTACAATTGACAATTTCTTGCTATTGCGCAATATTGTGCTATTGGATATTTCTTGCTATTGCGCAATACTGTGCAATTGAAGATTTCTTGCTATTGCGCAATACTGTGCAATTGAAGATTTCTTGCTATTGTGCAATACTGTGCAATTGAAAATTTCTTGCTATTGCACAATACTTATTAGATAATAATTTACACATCCTGTTTGGTGTGTATCTCCTACCATATCATTATTATTTGCTTTTAAATATAAATCAGAAATAACCAACTTAAAATGGAAAATTTAAAAAAAAAAAAAAAAGGAAAACCCCCCCCCCCCCCCCCCAAATTTTTTGAACCCCCTTATGATTCATCACCCCCAAACTCAATCCCAGCCTTCCCTTTGTGGTATGGTACCTTGCAGTACAATTTCAGAGAGATCCATACACTTGAACACAAGTTATTGTCTGGAAACTAGAAAATTGTGTTTTTTGGCCCCTTTTTGGCCCCAAATTCCTAAACGTTTAGGGCAATTACCCCCAAACTCAATTCCAGCTTTCCCTTTGTGATATGGAACCTTGTAATACAATTTCAGAAAGATCCATACACTTACACACAAGTTATTGTCCTGAAACTAGAAAAATGCTTGTTTTTTGGCCCTTTTTGGCCCTTAATTCCTAAAATATTGAGGCAATTACCCCCATCATCAATCCCAGCCTTCCCTTTGTGGTATCGTACCTTGCAGTACAATTTCAGAGAGATCCATACACTTTAACACAAGTTATTGTCTGGAAACTAGAAAAATGCTTATTTTTGGCCCCCAATTCCTAAACGTTTCGGGCAATTACCCCCAAACTCAATTCCAGCTTTCCCTTTGTGATATGGAACCTTGTAGTACAATTTCAGAAATATCCAAACACTTACACACAAGTTATTGTCATGAAACTAGAAAATTGCTTGTTTTTTGCCCCCTAAATCCTAAAATTTTGAGGCAATTACCCCCAAAATCAATTCCAGCCTTCCCTTTGTGATATGGAACCTTGTGGTACAATGTCAGAGAGATCCATACACTTACACACAAGTTATTGTCTGGAAGTTACAAAAATGCTTATTTTTGGCCCCTTTTTGGCCCCTAATTCCTTAACTGTTGGTACCATAACCCCCAAAATCAATCCCAACCTTCCTTTTGTGGTATTGAACCTTATGGTAAAATTTCATAGAGATCCATTCACTTAAACTAAAGTTATAGTGTGAAAACTAATGTGTCTTCGGACGACGACGACGACGACGACGACGCCAACGTCATACCAATATACGACCGCAAAATTTTTGCGGTCGTATAAAAATTAAAAATATTTCATATTCACTTAAATAAATAGAAATCGTACTTCTAATTCCCTGACAAACTGCATATCAGCATCATACAGTATAACATATCTAGGTTGTACTTCATGTAGAGTTTTAGACAATCCATTACAATCAGTTGTTCCATGTAGTGGATGTATGATGGTCAATGGTTCATCTATTATACCATAGTAAGCATCTTTTGAAGAACAAGGTTTGTTACTGTCCTATAAGAGAAAAGTTTTGTGTAATACACAATATAAAATAAGAAGATGTGGTATGAGTGCCAATGAGACAACTCTCCATCCAAGTCACAATGTATAAAAAGTTAAGTCTATATCCTTATCCTAAATGCAAACTATATAGATCTATAAAAAGTAACTTTTGCACAACATTTGTATGAAAAATGAAAGATGACACAAAGGGGACAAATTGAAAGAGATTTTGTATGTAGAACATTGAATATCCTTTTTTTTTAACATTCATAAAATTCCTTCATTACACAACTTGCTGTTTAACAATATACCTAGTGTACAGCATTCCATCAAATATCCCTGTTACATTCATTACCAAATATCCAGGGGGAATATTTAGCTAAATTTAATTAATATTATAATAGTTTAGTTTCTATATCTTACTATACAAATCCTTGATAATACTATCTGTTAAAACAGTTATTCATGAGGTTTTTATACTTATACAGAAATTGCTTTTGTACATGTATCGGTTCTTTTTTATGCAACTTGCACTGATGTAGTCGAAATGAGTGAACTGTGAAGGACTGAATGGTGAAATATATATGTGGTTTTTACTATTTTTGTTGTATATTTAGATTTATTATTAAACATGCTTTGGAAATTTGGTTACTGTTAAAAACGGTAAGTTACTATATTATGAAATGTTGTTTCCCTTGAACATTTTGGCCTATCTTTTTATTTGCAGATTTGACCCAAATTAAATGACCCATGACCTTTACCTGTTTTTGTTTGTAAACAAACAAATTACAAATATTAATTATGTTTAAAAATTTGTCGTGCAAATATCTTGATATAAGCAACAAATACGTGACACTTCGCAAACATACATGTGCATAGAATAATGTTTGTTGTGTATTTACTATGAACATAGTATTTATCAGGTTAAGGACAACCTATCAAATGGGGAACCATTCCCCAAACAAGCAACACTCTCTCACCCGAGCAATCATGGTGCCAAAAACAAAATTCTCCCAACTGGGTCCTCCCAATTAAAATGGCATAAATCTATAGAAAACAGGGGCACTGACTGTCTAAGTGGTGGCCTGCTCCAGTCATGCTTCAGTGATTTCCTAAATAGTCAACCAAATTTTTCCCACAAAAAGAGGGGGGGGAGGCTTCCCTGGGCCCCCTAAGTCCGCCTCTGCTTACGCTATTTTTATACAAATCATAGTTGGTATCTAAAACACATTTTATTCTTGGTTTCTTTCTCCTATAACACTACATCTTCATTTTGGCAAAAGTTAAAGTATTGAATTAACAATATGATAAACACAAATATAGATGAGATGTGTTAAGCTTACATCAGATTTATCTTCAGGCTTGTCCTCATCTAACATTTGGGTCAAAGTTAACTCAGGACCTGTTGTTTTTGTTTCAGCTTTTCTTTTAGTTTTCTTTTCTTCTCTTTCTTTTTTCTATGAAAATAAAAATTCACATGTAAAACTCTTCTGTCATATTTAAAATAATGTCAGCCAACTTGGTTTGTACTCAGGAAGCTATTGCCCTAATCCCAAAAGGTGCCACAAGCAGTCTATTTCAACCACATTTGATTATACAACTGTTTAAAATCATAGAGAGAAAAAAGTATCAATATTTTCCTTATAATTCTTTAAAATGTAACGAAGATCATATTTGCTTAGGATGAACTTAAAAGGAAAAAGATGACAGAAGTTCACCAAACACTCTTAAATCTAACCAAGCTCAATTCATGGATAATCGTCATAAGCTCTCTAGAACATTTGATTGTTTTGCAATGCTCTCATATGCATGATTGTTAGCCACCATAATACATGTTTATATTTACATTAATAGTGTATTGATTTGACATAATCATAATATAAGGATAAGACTTAGAAACCGGAAAATAACAGGCTTTGTTATATCTTTATTATGTCGAGTCAATACACTATTGTTGTCTTTATACTGCAATCTTAAATAATTTTATACACATTATGTGATATCATTTTGTTTTTAAAAAAATATTTTATAAACTGCTTTCTCTTGCAGAACTATGTAAATATTAAGAATTTTAAAGAAGGAGGAGTGGCTTAAGGCAATACTGTCAGTTACTGACTATCGCATAAAATTATGCAGTTAAAGCATTTTGTACTTTGACTGTTCAAATAGAATGACTGTCAATAACTTGTGTGTGTCTGATAGTTCTTGTATGTTCTAATTGTATAAATACCTTAGCATCTTGTAAGTACTGTCCTTTCATTGCCAGAGATTTGTTGTACAGTCTTATCAGCAAGCTTTTATGTCCTTCACATAGTACCTAAACATTTTCAAATATTTACTTCATTTCAAACACTTTATAATATCTTCTATCTGAATCAGTTATTCTTTTGAAGTTAGATTTTACAGGAACATCTATGAACTCCAGTTATAGCAGACAAAGAGCTATACAGTCCTCAGGAGACAAGGCAAGGTTCAAGACTTAAAATCAAAATTATTTAATTCAATATGATAAAAAGTAATGTTCATCCCCTAAATGGTCATCATTGGCAAAAGACCAAAAAATAGGATTCTAACTTTTGAAGAACATTTTTCATTTACATTAACAATATCAAAAACAAAATGTAATATTGTAAGTTATTTTCCTTAGGAATTATTTGACTAAAATGGCAATATCTTTACTACTATAAATGGAACAATAAAGTAATAGAGTATTCAGCTTTTCACACAAATGACCACAAAGCACCTAAACCTGTGATAAAAAGTGTATTAATTGGAAATTTCTTGTTTTTTTTATGTAAATTTTTAGTAATTTTGATAATGCAAATGTTGAAATTAAAATAGCAATACTTTAACATGTAAGTTATGCAGATATTCAAAGTCAATAGACCATGACTGAAGGTACATAGCTAAACAATCTCCATGGAAATGAGATGTGCCAATGATAATACAACTGCATACCAAATACCATTGACTTATCATAAGCCGTTCCCTTTAAACACAAACATTAACTTGTAAACTATGTAAAAGTTTCAAAGTCAATGAACCATGATGCGGGAGTGGGGCTATATAATCGCCATGGAAACGAGTCTTGCAAATGCCAATAAATTTGCATACCAAATATCACTGACTTAACATTAGTGCTTCATCTTAAACTGATCAGTGACTGATCTAATCACAAACAAATACATGTAAACTAAGCAAAAGTTTCAAAGTCAATAAACCATGACTGAGGGGGCGGAGCCAAATAATCAGCATGGAAATGAGATATTTCAATGCTTATACAACTGCATATAAAATATCATTGGCCTACCACTAATGGTTCCCCTTGAACTGAGCTAATCACAAACTAATACATGTAAACTAAGCAAAAGTTTCAAAGTCAATAGACCATGACTGAGGGGGCAGAGTCAAATAATCGGCATGTAAATGCTGATACAAGTGCAAACCAAATATCACTGGCCTACCAGTAGTGGTTCACCATAAACTAGACCTTATCACAAACAAATACATTTTTGTTCAATTACCTCCCTTATCTGGTTACATGTTCTATCATCTTCTGCAGCTACTAAGATGTGACATTGATCCAAATCTGCATCTTTCACTTGATCTCGTATTTCTTTCACAATGTCAAGTAAAGCATTCCATTTTGGACACGGTTCCAATAAAGGTTCAACTTCTATAATGAAAAATATTTGTCTGAAGAAATCCCTGACTTCACGTTGAAAGGGATATTTCTTACAGAAATGGAACAACCATAAGCCTTAGTTAATTCTCTCCCCTTTTTCTTATTTAATACTTTTATTACATTCTAATAGCTAGCGGTTAGTCATCTTGACTTAGATAATTGAATTTGTGTTTGAGAAGCCTTAATCTTAATTATAATAAACTGAAAGATGTTCCTTGTATGCAGAGATAGTTTATCAATCAATATTGAATCAAACATAGCAGAATATCTGGAAAATCTAGAAAAAAACAAGTATCTATGGTGCTTGGTCAGCAAAGAAATATGTAGAATGTTACTTTTGTTATTTTTTAATTCAATTGTTTCAGTGGTATTATAATAGCGGTTTCACATTCTGTTTTAATTTCTAAAATCATATCATATTAGGTGACAAATAAAATGTTTAATGGCCCTTGTCATTTAAAGAATAAACTCTAATGAAACCTGTAGTTTTGGAAGGCCTAAATTTAATGCAAACACAAATATATATGAAAAACTTACCAGTCTTTTTATCATTTTCATCATCATATATCTTTTTGTTTTGCGGTCCATATATTCTTTCTCTTGAGTGCTGTAAATAGCATTTGATTATATTGGTATAACATAAAAATCTTGTCGCCGGGATATAGCGTGCTGATGTGGCGTAAAGCAATCACCAATCAGTCAATCAATCAATCAATCATAAAAATCTTGTGAACTCTTAATTAAGAAAAATATAATTAATACAGAGATTGGACTCATCTATAAAGTAGATAAAATCTGATAGAAACAATAAAAACATTCTTATGGAAGATGTCATAAAATTACATGTTAAAAAAAAAGTGTAATGAAAGTTACCTGCCAAATTTCTACTTGTGTTTTCTGAATCTGTATTACTTAGTTATCAGTTATGGACTATTGCCTTTATTCAAGATGCCAACCAGACTTAATTTATATTTAACTTTATTGCAATTAGCAGTTAAAGGAAATACAAAATACAGCTTGATACCATTGAACAAGTTGATACAGGACATTGAATAAGTACATGCTCAGAGGAAATGCACAGTATTTGTTTGGACACAAGTAATTCTATGTACAATATTTAAATATGATTTTTGGCACCATTATCCCATTACAACACAGAATGAATAATTTATGTTTGAATTGAAAGGGATTATTACAATCGTTCTCAAGAACTGTCTACTGTGTGCACTACCCCAAATTAATAACCAGCTTCTTTCTTCAGAAAAAAACAATAAAGAAACATTTTTTTGTGCATTTTCTTTCAAGATAAAAAAATAAAATGCTCCGCAGGGCGCAGCTTGATACGACCGCAGAGGTCGAACCCTGAACAGTTGGGGGAAGTATGGACACAACATTCAAGCTTGATACAGCTTTGGATTTTGATTGTGATTAAATATTTGACACAGCATAGGTTTCTAACACAGATTGAATGTGGTCTAAGAACTTAAAAATTTTAAATTGGACATTCACCTATTATGGTCCAATATCCAAAATCTAAATACATGGTTAGATTCAGCATATCAAAGAACCCCAAGAATTCAATTTTTGATGAAATCAAACAAAGTTTAATTTTGGACCCTTTTGACCTCAATGTGGACAAAGTTGATAACGGGGCCCAAAAATCAAAAATCTAAATACATGGTTAGATTCAGCATATCAAAGAACCCCATATATTCAATTTTTGTTGAAATCAAACAAAGTTTAATTTTGGACCCCGATTTGGACCAACTTGAAAACTGGGCCCATAATCAAAAATCTAAATACATGTTTAGATTCAGCATATCAAAGAACCCTAAGAATTCAATTTTTGTTAAAATCAAACTAAGTTTAATTTTGGACCCTTTGGACCTTAATGTAGACCAAATTGAAAACGGAACCAAAAATTAAGAATCTAAATACACGGTTAGATTCGGCATATCAAAGAACCCCAATAATTCAATTTTTGATGAAATCAAACAAAGTTTAATTTTGGCCCTTTTGACCTCAATGTGGACAAAGTTGATAACGGGGCCCAAAAATCAAAAATCTAAATACATGGTTAGATTCAGCATATCAAAGAACCCCATATATTCAATTTTTGTTGAAATCAAACAAAGTTTAATTTTGGACCCCGATTTGGACCAACTTGAAAACTGGGCCCATAATCAAAAATCTAAATACATGTTTAGATTCAGCATATCAAAGAACCCTAAGAATTCAATTTTTGTTAAAATCAAACTAAGTTTAATTTTGGACCCTTTGGACCTTAATGTAGACCAATTTGAAAACAGAACCAAAATTTAAGAATCTAAATACACAGTTAGATTCGGCATATCAAAGAACCCCAATAATTCAATTTTTGATGAAATCAAACAAAGTTAAATTTTGGACCCTTTGGACCTCAATGTGGACCAATTTAAAAACGGGGCCCAAAATCCAAAAACTAAATACACGGTTAGATTCAGCATATTAAAGAACCCCATGAAATCAAGAATAAAACCCCATTGAAATTGGTCAAGAAATAAGCAATTTATACGAAGTATCTTCTTTTGCACAATCCTGTGCTATTAAATATTTCTTGCTATTGCGCAATACTGTACAATTGACAATTTCTTGCTATTGCGCAATATTGTGCTATTGGATATTTCTTGCTATTGCGCAATACTGTGCAATTGAAGATTTCTTGCTATTGCGCAATACTGTGCAATTGAAGATTTCTTGCTATTGTGCAATACTGTGCAATTGAAAATTTCTTGCTATTGCACAATACTTATTATATAATAATTTGAACATCCTGTTTGGTGTGTATCTCCTACCATATCATTATTATTTGATTTTAAATATAAATCAGAAATAACCAACTTAAAATGGAAAATTTAAAAAGAAACAAAAAAGGAAAAAAAGAAAAAAAAGGATAAAAAAATAAATCCCCCCCCAAAATTTTTTGAACCCCCATTATGATTCATCACCCCCAAACTCAATCCCAGCCTTCCCTTTGTGGTATGGTACCTTGCAGTACAATTTCAGAGAGATCTATACACTTGAACACAAGTTATTGTCTGGAAACTAGAAACAAATGTGTTTTCTGGCCCCTTTTTGGCCCCAAATTCCTAAACGTTTAGGGCAATTACCCCCAAACTCAAACCCAGCTTTCCCTTTGTGATATGGAACCTTGTAGTACAATTTCAGAAAGATCCATACACTTACACACAAGTTATTGTCATGAAACTAGAAAAATGCTTGTTTTTTGCCCCTTTTTTGGCCCCTAATTCCTAAAATTTGGAGGCAATTACCCCCAAAATCAATCCCAGCATTCCTTTAGTGATATGGAACCTTGTGGTACAATGTCAGAGAGATCCATACACTAACACACAAGTTATGTCTGGAAGTTACAAAAATGCTTATTTTTGGGCCCTTTTTGGCCCCTAATTCCTTTACTGTTATTACCATAACCCCCAAAATCAATCCCAACCTTCCTTTTGTGGTATTGAACCTTGTGGTAAAATTTCATAAAGATCCATTCACTTAAACTAAAGTTAGAGTGCGAAAACCAATGTGTCTTCGGACGACGCCGGACGACGACAACGACGACGCCGGACGACGACGACGCCAACGTCATACCAATATACGACCACAAAAATTTTTTTGCGGTCGTATAAAAATGCACTAAAACTATCTATAAGTATTCCACTTACAACAAATAAGGAATCAGCTGAGTCTAAAAATAACCACCCTGTGTTCTGTCCAAATGTTTTCTCATTAGTCCTAAGCAACAACAAAATAATATCTGTCAGTTAAAATTGCTAAAATACTAAATTTAATATAGGATCTACATCTTGTAAATTATAGATTTATTAAAAAACAATACAGATATAATGTGTCCAATCATTAGTGTTAAACAGCAGTGCATACATGAGTCATTGCAAGTAATTTTTTCAAGTGAATTTTTTTTTCAATCTTTTATCTAGATTTGTGACTGAAACTTACCTTAGAGAGCTAGTTATGCTGTGAAATATTACAAAATCTTACTGGGTCAGGTGACTAAAACTTACCATACAGGGTTAACTACACTGTAAAATGTTACACAATCATACTGGGTCAGGTGACTGAAACTTACCATACAGAATCCACCTGACTCCACCATGCTGTGAAATGTAACACAATCATACTGGGTCAGGTGACTGAAACTTACCTTACAGAGTCCACCATGCTGTGAAATGTAACACAATCATACTGGGTCAGGTGACTGAAACTTACCTTACAGAGTTAACCATACTGTGAAATGTAACACAGTCATACTGGGTCAGGTGACTGAAACTTACCTTACAGAGTTAACCATACTATGAAATGTAACACAGTCATACTGGTTCAGGTGACTGAAACTTACCTTACAGAGTTAACCATACTGTGAAATGTAACACAGTCATACTGGGTCAGGTGACTGAAACCTACCTTACAGAGTTAACCATACTGTGAAATGTTACACCATCATACTGCGTCAGACGACTGAAACTTACCTTACAGAGTTAACCATGCTGTGAAATGTTACACCATCATACTGGGTCAGGTGACTGAAACTTACCTAACAGAGTTAACCATGCTGTGAAATGTTACACAATCATACTGGGTCAGGTGACTGAAACTTACCTTACAGAGTTAACCATGCTGTGAAATGTTACACAATCATACTGGGTCAGGTGACTGAAACTTACCTTACAGAGTTAACCATGCTGTGAAATATTACACAATCATACCGGGTCAAGTGACTGAAACTTACCTTACAGAGTTAACCATGCTGTGAAATGTTACACAATCATACTGGGTCAGGTGTCTACAATAGAAATATCATTCCTGTGAGGGAAATGCTGTAATTCACTTTTGCAATACATCCTCAATTACAAAAATCTATTTTTAACAGAATGTTTTTATTCTGACTGACAGCAGCAAATATCGAGCTTAGCTAATTTTCAATTATCTTAAGACCATGCATACCTCAGAAAAGCTTAAGCATTTTTATATGTGTGTGAAAAATTTTGAAGCATAACAGGTGACAATCTACCTAAATGTATTTAAAAGTCTTCATATCTGAAACCTCAAAATAAGTTTAAAATTCTTTCTATCTGAAAAAGCTGATTACAAACCGGGTCTAGTTGGACTCAACACAATATAAGCATGTTAAGTCTTTATTATAGGCTGTTTAGTTTTAGAGCCTGGCTAATGTCTAATTGGGTCTATATGTCATTTATGTCAGCTCAATATAAAAATAAGGGTCTATATAACTGTCACAAGCTGTTTGGCTTTGCCACATAGTGGCTACTCTGGGTGTAATTTGAATCTACTTTAAAATAAACTTGACAGTGCAATGCTAAGGAAATTGCTAAGCAGCATATAGTGCAATGCAGATATTTAAAATCGTGTTAAAAAAAGTTTTATACATACAGTCAAACCTGCCTTAACGGTCACCTCGTTTCAGCGGTCACCTGCTTCTAACCGCCACTTTCAGACCCTATAAAACGTTTTCTCTATATAATATAACTTAACTCTTTTCAGCAGTCACCTGTCTAACGCAGTCAGCGTCACTTAATTGTCGCAGGAAAGCATCATTTCAACTTTTAACAACTGTCATTTTTTTTTTTCAACCAAAATATAATGATGAAGAAAAATATCTGTGTTCAGTATAGTGTTCCAAATGAATTAGAACTGATTGCAACTGAGATCGCGCAGTAGGAGGTGAATTTGTCATGTTCCACTCCTTTCAGTTTCTGTTGAAAAACACATCAATGACTCATTTATCCATGAATATTAACTATTTGGAATCTTTTCTTCAACTCTAGAGCGCTGGAATCCGCCATTTTTTATTTGTCTGCTCGCACGAACAAAAACTCTACCAATTGAAAACACTAAAACAATATGCCCCAATCCCGTCCACGAGCAATGTCAGAATCAGATTTTTTTTCGGAACCTCATTTAAAAGGTCACCTCTTATGAGTGGTCACTTTTGATACTTCCCATGAGTGACTGCTTAATACAGGTTTGACTGTATAACAATCTGAAAAGTCTCTGCACTAAATTTTTGACAAGACTTCATCTAGGTGGACATACCTCAATATAAGCCTCAACGTCTTGATATCTGTGACAAGCTGTTTAGTTTTTGAGCCAAGTTGATGCCAAACTGGGTCAAGCTGAAACCTTATGATCTTGTCAAAAGATTTCCCAATGGCATTCTCTACTGTTACTTCATCTGCATCAATCTTTAAGAAAAAAAATTTTCTGATTCAATTAAAAAGGACCTGTTATAAATTTGAAATAGCTTGAAAGATAACAATGGAACTGGCTTGGAGGGGTGGGGTGGGGAAGTATGAACAGTTAATATTGTTCCATGTGAGAATATTGATTTTTTAAAAACTTAAGAACATAAACTGTTATCACAGAGATATGTCTCGCCTTTTTGTAATTTTGATAATGCAAATGTTGAAATTAAAATTGCAATACTTTAACATGTAAGTAATGCAAATATTCAAAGTCGATGAACCATGACTGAAGGTACATGGCTAAACATTCTCCATGGAATGAGATGTGCCAATGCTAATACAACTGCATACAAAATACCATTGACTTATTATAAGTCGGTCCCTTTAAACAAACCTAAACACAAACATGAACTTGTAAACTATGTAAAAGTTTCTCAGTCAATGAACCATGATCAGGGGTGGGGCTATATAATCTCCATGGAAACGATACTTGCAAATGCCAATAAATTTGCATACCAAATATCAATGACTTAACATTAGCAGTTCATCTTAAACTGATCTAATCACAAACTAATACATGTAAACTAGGCAAAAATTTCAAAGTAAATAGACCATGACTGAGGGAGCGGGGTCAAATATTCTCCATGGAAATGAGATGTGCTAATGCTTATACAACTGAACACCAATTAACATTGGCCTACCACTAATGGTTCCCCTTGAACTGACCTAATCACAAACTAATACATGTAAACTTAGCAAAATTTTCAAAGTCTATAGACCATGACTAAGGGGGCGGAGCCAAATAATCTCCATGGAAATGAGATATGCCCATGCTTATACAACTGCTTACCACTAGTGGTTCCCCATAAATTGACCTAATCACAAACTAATACATGTTAACTATGAAAAGTTTCAAAGTCAATAGACCTTGACTGAGGGAGCAGGGCCAAATAATCTCCATGGTAATGAGATGTGCCAATGCTAATACAACTGCATACCAAATATCATTGGCCTACCACTAGTGGTTCACCATGAACTAGACCTAATCACAAACTAATACATTGTTGACGCCGCCGCCGCTGTTGACGCCAAAAACAGCATACCTATGTCTCGCTTTTTTACTTCCTGACTTCAAGGCGAGACAAAAATGCTGCATTGTGATGTTAACAGGTGAAATACCAGTTCAGAAGAAAATTCTTCATTTAATTCCCAAAAAGGAAAACAAATGAGGTGAAAAATTCAGTAAAAGTTGTTATTGAGAACTTAGTACAGCTTTTAATAAAGCTGCTTTAAATGTGCAAATGCAAATTTACTATAAAATTACTCACAGCTGTTGTACATCTTTTAAGTTCTTTGATACAGGCATTAATCAGATCTAACAGAGCTGTTTGACAGGCCAGCATTGTTGAAGTAAGTTTTACTTGGATTTCTATTACATCAATCTGAAATAAACAAGCTCTCACATATAAATGAAACTAAATATAAATTTCGACATTATATAAATAATCTATCATAAGCTCTTTTTCAAAAACACAATGTGTCAAAAAAACAGAACATGCATAGTGTCCAATTTACCAAAGCCCTCTTTGATCAGGAAAATATCATTTTTTGGCATAAAATTGTCAAAAATATTTTTCATAGTACATGTTCACTTTTATGGAATTACGCCGCACCTTTCAAAAATCCTACATCCTCCTCTGAATGGTCTGTCATGAGTACTACTTCTGCAAACAATCTAATCTAAAAACTTATCATTAGTTATTGTTGCCTGAAAGTTATCACATGTTTTTCAACCTACAGCATTATTTCATGCACAACACATTTTTTTATTTAATACAAAGGTAGAATGTACAATTATCTGCAATATCCTTGTTGAAAAAGTGTCATGTTTCTTTCAACATTTATATGTAATTTCTCGTGTTACTCTTAATACCAAATGAACAGGTAAATGAAAATGAGTATCAGGCTTTTACTGTATAAGGATCCAAACCAAAATGTCAATGTTATTTCATTATTTCTGTAAATTTGCTACTGATGGTTGTCTCATTGGCAATCATACCACATCTCCTTATTTCTACATTGACATTAAATGTCAGCAATAGTACAATACTGTTCCATCATTAATATGATTGTTATGGAGGCAAATAAAACTATAAAGGATCAATTCTATTATTCAATTTACATATATATAGATTATGTTAGACAGTCTCAATGTCCTAGTAAAGGATGTATTTACCAATCAGAACATCCAAAACACTGACTTTTCAATTATGCCACACCATTAATAAGTTGATCCATTGTATTTTTCATACCTGATTTTTTTCTAATGTTGCTACAACACTTGCATGAAATCTTGGCCATAGATACAGATTTCTGACAAATAAGTTCTTCATAGTTTTCTCCACATGAGCAAATCCAGACGTAAATGCATGGGGACTGTCAGAGAAGGCTTTAATAAATCCTGTCTATATACATACAAAAAAATATTTATAATCTTTAAATGTAATAGCAACATTTTACATTTTACAAAAACTTCTTTTTCAAATTTGAAGTTTCATATAACTTTAAACTATTGCAGCAGTTTTACAAAAATTAAAAGTATCTCCCACAAATGAAAGGTGAACAATGTTTTTCTCCCAATCAATGCATACCACACAAAGGCTATAAGCACTCGTTCAAAGCTGATTTATCTTGCATTGTTTTATTTGTAACTTTTTTTTGTCATGTGTAATAACACTATTGTTGTGTTATCAAAATCAGAAATAGATTTTAAAATGGTTAACATAAAACATATTCAGTATCTAATATATACAATAGCAGAAAATCATGATTGTATAACATATAAATTCTTAGGATAAATATATTCCTATATACTGGCACTTATTTTTGTGAATTGAGGAAAAATGGTACTTTCATAGATATTTAAATTCGTGGATTGGCCGAAGTCTGCATACAAGCTTCTAGAAAAATTATACTTCAGTGAACATTTAGATTTATGGCTTATTCATAATAATGAATCCACAGTAATACAAATTTTAATGCCCTTTTAATGCACGGATGTAAAACATTCAAAAAGAGTAAATTGTGTCATTTTTTAAATAAATTTAAGTAAAAATAAATTGCTTCGCTGAGCGCAGCTGGGTATGACTGCAGAGGTCCAACCCTGAACAGTTGGGACAAAAATGGACACAATATTCGCGCTTGATACAGGTCTGAATTTGGATTGTAATTAAATATCTGACACAAAATAGGTTTCTGACACAGAATAACTGTAGTCAAAGAACTTAGAATTGGTAATATGATTTGAATTTATATTCAAATTATGCTTTTGTGTAATACTCTATGCTGTTGCGTATTGACCCCCCCCTCCCATCTTTTTTTTCCAAAAAAAAAAATATTTGAAGAAATTTCTTTTTAATTTCTAAAATCTGAAATGAGAAAAAATTGTCCCCCCTCCCAATTTCATATCCCCCCCCCCCCAATTTTGTTTTTTCAATTCCCCCTTTCCCTTTTTCCAAAAAAAATCCTTCCCTGAATATAAGGTCATAATCTCAATTCAAATTTCTAATGGAGTTTGCAACCATAATTACCAATTAAAATACATCATAAAAGTCTTAAAATAGAAAATGACATACATATTCAAGGCTAAAATTAATATTGATTACTGTAACATTTAAAAATAAATTGACAGCTAATCACCTCAAGACAATACAGCATTTCTTATACATAATTTACAAGCAGTGTAAGGGAGGTAATCCAAAACATACACAACATTGTATATTAAATGTGATTGGATTACCTCCCTCATACTGCTTTGAAATTGTCCATTAACCAGGAAACTCTTGTTTTTACCCTTTTTTTGCCACTAATTCCTAAATGGTTTGAGCCATAACCCCCCAAAGTCAATCCTAACCATCCCTTTGTGGTATGGAAACTTGTGGTATAATTTCAGAGAGATTCATACACTTAAACACAAGTTATTGTTTGGAAACTACAAAAATGCTTCGCTGAGCGCAGCCTGATACGACCGCAGTGGTCGAACCCTGAACAGTTGGGGCAAATTTGGACACAATATTCAAGCTTGATACTATCTGAATTTGGATTGTGATCAAATTTTTGACATAATATAGGTTTCTGACACAAAATAAATGTGGTCAAAGATCTTACAAATCTAATGCGCAATACTGTGCAATTGAAGATTTCTTCTTGAAACTTTTCAAAAATTTGAAATATTGAAAATTTGGAAGAAAAAAAATATGAACTCTTTTAAAAAAAAAATTGGAAACCCCCCCATTTAAATACACCATAAAAGTATTAAAATAGAAAATGACATCATAATCATGCCTAAAATTAAAACACTTTCATCAGCAACATTAAATAGTAATATCTAAAAATAAAATTCCTTCACATACATAATCATGGCTAAAATTAAATAATTTTTAAAATAGAAAATGACATCATAATCATGCCAAAAATTAATAAACTGCTTCGCTGAGCGCAGCTAGATACGCCCGCAGAGGTTCAACCCTGAACAGTTGGGGCAAAAATGGACACAATATTCAAGCTTGATTCAGGTCTGAATTTGGATTGTAATTAAATATTTGACATATTATAGGTTTCTGAATAAATGTAGTCAAAGAACTTGAAACTGGTTATATGAATTGAATTTATATTCAATTAAAGATTTCTTGCTGTTGTGCAATAGTCCCCAATTCTTAGTAAATCTGTTGTCAGACTATAAACAAATAAAGTTCAATTAATTCTTAATGTTATATTAGAAATTTATGAAAATAAAAAGGGAGCTTACATCAATAGATATAAACAATTCACCAAAGTTTCATGAGAATTGGTGACAGCATTTTTGAGTTATTGTCCGAAAACTGGAAAATCACCCCTTTTTCTTAATGAATAAAACCCCATAACTCAGAAATGTAAAATGTAAAATTTATAAAATTCTAAACGGAGCTTACATCAATACATACAAACAATTCACCAAAGTTTCATATGAATTGCTGAAAGAATTTTTGAGTTTTTGTCCGAAAACTGGAAAATCCCCCCTTTTTTTATGAATAAAACCCTGTAACTCAGAAACATAAAATTTAAAATTTATAAAAACCAAAAGGGAGCTCATTTCAATAGATATAACCAATTCACCACAATTTCTTGCAAGTTGGTGAAAGCATTCTTGGCTTATTGTCCAAAAACTGGAAAATCCCCCCTTTTTTAATGAATAAAACCTCATAACTCGGAAATGTAAAATCTAAATTTTATAAAAAACGAAAGGGAGCTCACGTCAATAGATATAAACAATTCACAAAAGTTTTAAGCAAATTGGTTAAAGCATTTTTGAGTTAATGTCCGACATGTTGACGACGGACAGACGGACGGACAGAGGTACGGACAGACGGACGGACGGAAAGACGTACAACGGTATACCATAATACGTCCCGTAAACGGGCGTATAAAAAGCCTCCATCAGCAACATTAAATAGTAATATCTAAAAATAAAATTCCTTCACATACATAATCATGGCTATAACTAAATTACCTTTATTAAACATTTTTAAAATAGTAACTTCTAAAAATAAATTGACAGCAAATCACCTAAAGACAATTCTTTCTTTATAAATAATTTACAAGCAGTGTAAGGGAGATAATTTGACAATATGTGTTTGAATTACCTCCCTTACACTGCTTTAAAATTATGTTTTGTACTTAAGTAATTGTCCATTAACCTGGAAACCCTTGTTTTTCCCCCTTTTTTGCCCCTTATTCCTAAACAGTTTGAGCCATAATCCCCCAAAGCAAATTCTTACCATCCCTTTGTGATATGGTAACTTGTGGTATAATTTCAGAGAGATCCATACACCATTTCACAAGTTATTGTCTTGAAACTAGAAAAATGCTTATTTGGGCCCCATTTTGGCCCCTAATACCTGAACTGTTAGGACCATAACCCCCAACCTTCATTTTGTGGTCATAAACCTTATGGTAAAATTTCATAGAAATTCATACACTTAAACAAAAGTTATTGTCTGGAAACCAATGTGTCTTCGGACGACGACGACGACGAAGACAACGACAACGTGATACCAATATACGCTTATTTGGGCCCCTTTTTTTGCCCCTAATTCCTAAATTGTTGGGACCATAATCCCCAAAATCAATCCCGATCTTCCTTTTGTGGTTATAAACCTTGTGTATATACCTTGATATCTATTTACTTATACTAAAGTTATTGTCCGGAAACCAATTGTCTTAGGACAAAGACGACAACGTGATACCAATATACGACTGCAAAAATTTTGCGGTCGAATTAAAATGCTTATTTGGGCCCCTTTTTTTGCCCCTAATTCCTAAACTGTTGGGACCAAAATCCCCAAAATCAATCCAGATCTTCCTTTTGTGGTTATAGTCCTTGTGTATATACCTTGATATCTATTTACTTATACTAAAGTTATTGTCCAGAAACCAACTGTCTTCAGACGATGTGATACCAAAATACGACCACAAAAATTTTTTGCGGTCGTATAAAAACCTGTGCACTATCTTAAGAGGCTTTAAATAGAAGAATTGTTCATGCAGTTTATACAAGAAATTGAAAAAAATCTTATTTCATTATTTGCTACAACTACATGGTATACCTTGTTTTTCTGTCTGTACAAACGTAAAATGAAAGCTTCTTGACATGATTCAATCACCCTAAAATAAAAGGCACCAACTACTCAAAATTAGGTCAAAAATAATAATTGTAAAGATTGATTATATTTCTTGATATAATACAAATTAAATAAATGGGGAATGAGTCCATGGGACACTGATGATGCCCCCTCTTGCATACGTTATAAAGGGACATAACTCAAGAACAGTAAAAGTGACGCAACCCAAATTGGTACTTGATCTGAGTTTTGTGGTAATAAGCATTGTGTATAAGTTTCATAACATTTGGTTGATGCAAACTAAACTTAGAACAGAAACGAAAAATTCAGCAATTTTTTATTTTGTAAAGGGCATATCTCTAGAACGGTAAAAGTGTAGCCACCCAATTTCTAACTTGATCTGTGTTTTCTGGTAATAAGCATTGTGTATAAGTTTCATAACATTTGGTTGATGCAAACTAAACTTAGAACAGAAACGAAAAATTCAGCAATTTTTTATTTTGTAAAGGGGCATAACTCTAGAATGGTAAAAGTGACGCTACCAAAATTCAAACTTGATCTGTGTATTGTGGTAATAAGCATTGTGTATAAGATTTATAACATTTAGTTGAGGCAAACTAATGTTAGAGAATGGAAACGAAAAATTCAGCAATTTTTCCATTTGTAAAGGGGCATAACTCTAAAACAGTATAAGTGACACCACCAAAATTCATACTTGATCTGTGTTTTGTGGTTATAAGTATTGTGTATGAGTGTCATAACATTTGGTTGAGGCAAACTAAAGTTAGAGAATGGAAAACAATTTTGGGATGTAGAGACGTACAGACTGACAAGGGTAAAACTTAATGCCCCCTCTGCTACGGCGGGGGCATAAAAATATGATTGTTTCACAGCTGTGAAGCCTACATCCAAAACTATTCAAATCTCCTAAAGTGACTGAAAATATAGTTAAATAATTGTATGATGGTGATTTTAGAACACAAGGCACTTATTTCATGAATTTCTGGAATAAGCTGCTCAAGACCAGGTTAATAAAGCCTAATAATACACCATTGGGGAGTTTCAAAAATAAAAAGGTTTTTAAGAGTCAAATCTTTTGTCAAGTCAACTTTGCCTAAGCGAGTTGCAACTTTAGTTGTAGTCAATTACAACTCATAATTACCAGTTATTTAATCTACCTATGTATATATTCTAAGGATGTCAACGAGTACTCGAGTATTCGAGTATCGCACGGTAGTACCGAGTATCGTATACCAAAATGATACTCCAATTATCAGTTTCCAATAAAATATTGCTGTCTTCTTTATATAAAATTGATCTTCTTTTGAAAAAATTAAATAGGCAGAACTGATTAATCATACTAGTAAATAAAAAACATTTTGTTTCGAATGCGTGTGCTAAATTGTCATTTAAAATGCCTCCGAAAATATGTTGGGCTAACACTTTAAACTAAACATGTCTGCAAGACTGTAATTCACAAATTTGCAAAATCAACTGTCAAAAAAATACTTGACAAGAAAATGTTTCCAAATAAAAAATTTGTTGCATCCTATGGTGACCCTCAGTGAATAGTTAAACTTCTAATCCTTACTCCTTAATAAACATTAAATGTGTTTTCATACGATTACCAAATACATTTTGTACTATTGTTTGATATGGTTTTCCTTGTTATAATTTTTAAATAGGTGTTCATTAAATTATATTGATTAGATTATTGTTTTTTACTTAATTAGTACTTGTAGGTAATGAGCTACTAATTATGGTGTGTAATTCTTTGTCCTAGATACATATGTAGATGGCTTTACATCCGTTGAACAACAAACCACAGAATGTAAAATAAGTATTTTTGTGTTTCCATGTTGTAGATATATTCCCAAGCAAGTACTCAAGTATTGCTCGATAATACCAACGAGTACTCGATTAGTAATTGTTCACCGAGTTGACATCCCTAATATATTCACAATAATTGACGTAATCCAATGCCTGATCATACTTTATCCTGCATGTATTACTTTTAGTGAGACAATTTCTTTGGGGAAATATATACCATTATAATGTGATAGTAGCAGAAATATATTTGATACTAATTGAGGTGCACTCTTTTTCTCTTTTTTTGACAGTTCAGAAATTTTTTTTAGTTTCATAACAAATCCAGTTTAGAATCTGCAAACTCAGGTTTGTACAGTTAGACATAAAAAAGTTTACAATCATTTTCGGGACTATTTTGAATGCTTATTTTTATTTATTGTGAATTGTCTATCTTACAAAAGGAGAAGAAAAATGTTAAATCTTTTTTGAGAGTTATTTTTATAATTTTAACGATAAACAAATTGTGTATGGATAGCGACCCTTAATGTGCTGATTTGGCACACTCTGTTATGTAAATAAATGTAAAATATTGTACACAAGTGCAGGTAGAATAAGAAACAAACTATTCTTATATCATATTTAAAAGGATTGCTACTATAAAAATTTAAAACTTTCTATTAAATAAAAAAAAACAAATGTAGCTATTTTACTTGTGTGCTCTGTACACCAGTATTCCTGAGACATGTTCTGATGGAATACGATCTGTCAAGAAATCAACAACCAGAATTCTGGACGTAATAAACAACACTCCTCCCTCCAAATAGACTTTTTGTCTGAAAATATAAAGAAAGATTAACCCTGAAGTATATCAAAATTATACTTTTGTAAATACTTTTATATTTACTCTGATTTTAAAGTTTCAAACAATTTCACATGTTTAATAGTGGCCTATAATTATTTATATCCAGTTCATTTGAACTCTGGTGGATAGTTGTCTCATTGACAATCATACCAAATCTCCTTTTTTTATATATTGTCATAATAGTTGTCAACACTGGATTTTTCAAAAATAAGAAGATGAGACAATTTTTCCACCAGAGACCAAATGACGTAGAAGTTAGCATACATAAACTTATGATTTTTCTTCAGCAACACAATTTGTTTAAGCTATTAACATAACATAAATTAATACCTTTCAGAAACACTGACTTCATTTGTTATAACACGTGGTAATGGCTTTACTCCTTCTCTTTCTAAATTCTCAATGAAATATTCCTAAATACATAATATTAATTATAATGTTTATGTATGTACAAATTAAAATATAACATTGTGATTAGTTTCTATTAAAAAAAAATTTATAAATTATCATACAACATGCATATGGATGTTTCAAGTTAAAAATACATGTACAAATTATAAGTTACAGTTCAGGAAAATTCTTTCAATACAATGAATACTTATATTTATCCATTATTTAATTTCATCATTTGGAATAAAAATAAATTAATTAAATCTAACCTTATCTTTCTTATATAGAGGCAACTTTGATTTTTTATGCCTTTTAGTTTTTTCTCAGACCATTTCCTACATGTATTATAAAATTATCATACAGGAAAATCTAGTGAGATTTAAATTATGTACAAAAGGAAGACATTTTTCATTAAAACTTCTATATCATGTTTATAGCTGTACAAAGCTTGCAAACATATAGTTCAATTTGATGAAAAATAAAAATATTCAACTTGACAATAATAGCTAATGATTGGACACACCTTTCTATGTATCCTGTCTTTTGCTGTGACAGGGGACACAATAAACTTTCATTATTTGCATTCAACTTTTTGTGATATATATATATTTTTCTTTCTGTTGCAGCAGTGAAACAAAAATATCCAAAATTAAAGAACCTTAGTGAGCGCGCTCACATACCCCACGTCCCCACATTGTCATTGGAGAAATAAAATAAGTGTAAGAAAAAAAAATGAATCATAATTTCCTGTCAAAATGCACATCTACATAGTATGTCCTTATTATCTACAAAGTTTCATGAAATTCTGTTGTGTGGTTTCAGAGGAGTTGCGATGACAAACTGTTGCAGAAGTACATTAAAGCAAATAAGTTCAAAGGGGCGTAACTCCTAGAAAAAAAATTTAATCGTAATTTCCTGTCGATATGCACATCTACATAGTATGTCCTTATTATCTAAAAAGGTTTCATGAAATTCTGTTGTGTGGTTTCAGAGGAGTTGCGATGACAAACTGTTGCAGTAGTACATTAAAGCAAATAAGTTCGAAGGGGCGCAACTCCTAGAAAAAAAATTGAATCGTAATTTCCTGTCGATATGAACATCTACATAGTATGTCCTTATTATCTACAAAGTTTCATGAAATTCTGTGGTGTGGTTTCAGAGGAATTGCGATGACAAACTGTTGCAGTAGTACATTGAAGCAAATAAGTTCAAAGGGGCGTAACTACTAGAAAAATAAAATGCTCCGATGGGCGCAGCTTGATACAACCGCAGAGGTCGAACCCTGAACAGTTGGGGCAAGTATGGACACAACATTCAAGCTTAATACAGCACTGAATTTGGATTGTGATTAAATATTTGACACAGCATAGGTTTCTGACACACAATGAATGTGGTCTAAGAACTTAAAAAATTTTAATTAACCTATTCAAACCATATCATTATTATTTACTTTTATATATAAATCAGAAATAACCAATTTAAAATGGAAAATTTTAAAGAAAAAAAAAAGGAAAAAAAATCACTCCCCCAATTTTTTTGAACCCCCTTATGATTCATCACCCCCAAACTAAATCCCAGCCTTCCCTTTGTGGTATGGTACCTTGCAGTACAATTTCAGAGAGATCCATACACTTGAACACAAGTTATTGTCTGAAAACTAGAAAAATGCTTATTTTTAGCCCCTTTTTGGCACCTTATTCCTAAATGTTTTGAGCAATTACCCCCAAACTCAATTCCAGCTTTCCCTTTGTGATATGGAACCTTGTAGTACAATTTCAGAAAGATCCATACACTTATACACAAGTTATTGTCATGAAACTAGAAAAACGCTTGTTTTTTGCCCCTTTTTTGGCCCCTTATTCCTAAAATTTTGAGGCAATTACCCCCAAAATCAATCCCTGCATTCCCTTTGTGATATGGAACCTTGTGGTACAATGTCAGAGAGATCCATACACTAACACACAAGTTATGTCTGGAAGTTACAAAGATGCTTATTTTTGGCCCCTAATTCCTAAACTGTTGGTACCATAACCCCCAAAATCAATCCCAACCTTCCTTTTGCGGTATTGAACTTTATGGTAAAATTTCATAGAGATCCATTCACTTAAACTAAAGTTAGAGTGCAAAAACCAATGTGTCTTCGGACGACGACAACGCAAACGTCATACCAATTTACGACCACAAAATTTTTTTGCGGTCGTATAAAAATGGAATCATAATTTTCTGTCGATATGCACATCTACATAGTATGTCCTTATTATCTACAAAGTTTCATGAAATTCTGTGGTGTGGTTTCAGAGGAGTTGCGATGACAAAAGGTTGCAGTAGTATATTGGGCAAATAAGTTTAAAGGGGTGTAACTCCTGGGAAAAAAATTGATTCGTAAATTCCTGTCGATATGCACATCTACATAGTATGTCCTTATTATCTGAAAAGGTTTCATGAAATTCTGTTGTGTGGTTTGAGAGGAGTTGCGATGACAAGAAACAGGACTGACGGACGGACAGACGGATGGACAGACAGACGGACAGACGGGTCAAAAACATTATACCCTTCGCAAAAAATGAGTGGGGTATAATTATTATTTTCTTCATGCTGTTCAAATTTTAAATCAATATGTACATGTTTTAAACATACTTCTTCAGATGATGTGGTGTTGATCACCACAACTAAATTAGCTGTATCACTGTATACTTTTAAAAAGTTCTGCAGTATTCTGTCTACACCTAAGCCTCTAAAAAAATAAGGTGAAAAATTCAAATCTTGTTATATTTATCATTATGTGGTTGGACACATTTTTTTATATTCAAACATTTTGTTGTGCACAAGAAATATCTGAAGAAATTGTAAAACTTTACATATAATTGTTACAACAGAATTGTTCGTTATGAGAGGTGATTTATACAGTAATTTACAACTACAACATCTAAAGTCATGAGATTATGATACATTTGTATATAAATATATATATAATAAGTACATCTAAACAAGTGACAACTCTATGACAGATCCATCCATTGGATCACCAGTGAAGGTGATACATGGCTGAAAACACATATTATATAATAATTACTCTAAATATCAGCACAACAATGTTAAATCTGCAAATTTGTGGAAGCAAATTTTTGTTCTTTCATCGCCGTGATTCAAACCCATGCTTTTGGGATATCGAGACAACACCGCCTGCACTGTGTCCAGCGCTTTAGACCACTCGGCCACCTAGACTGAACTTAAAAATTTAGCTTTTGGTGGCCTAGTGTTACCATTCTTCGTCAGTAGAATGAATTGATTGCAGATTAGCTAAATTATCTATCGTAGAGGATTGCAAGATGCAGTCACAGAAATAATTAAAGAACCTTTGTGAGCACGCTCACATACCCCACGCCACCACATTGTTACTGGACAAACAAAATCTCACCAGATTCCTAAGTTCAAAGACTCACAACTCTACAAAAGTCAACTGATAAACATTTTCTTGTGGATATGCACATTAACATATTATGTCCTCATTAACTACAAAGTTTCATGAAATTATGTTGTGTGGTTTCAGAGGAGTTGTGAGGACAAACTGTTGCAGTAGTATATTGAGGCCAATAAGTTCAAAGGGGTATAACTCCTAGAAAAAAATTGAATCATAATTTCCTGTCGATATGCACATCTACATAGTATGTCCTTATTATCTACAAAGTTTCATGAAATTCTGTTGTGTGGTTTCAGAAGAGTTGCGATGACAAGAACAGGACTGAAGGACTGACGGACGGACGGACAGACGGGTCAAAAACATTATACCTGACACAATAAATTGCGTGGGGTATAATTATATGATAAGTACGTCTAAAAAAGTGACAACTCTACGACAGATCCATCCTGTATGATAAAAATGTATTTTTCCATTTGTTTCTTGTTTGGCAGGAACTAGATAATTACAGTTCAAATGCATTATGTTTCAGACAATGTATAACTTACTTTGATTTTGAGATTCCTTTTTTTCGCTTCCACAGGAGAGCCAAAATAAACAAACTCCTGAATTTCATTTGATACGGTCCACTCAATTACACTGTTTAAATCGCAGGTATCTATTGTCCATGTCAATTCAAACAACTCACTTATATTATTACATAGGGGAACATCTCAAACCTTTTCCAAACTTAGTTTATTTTGGCACCTTCTGTGGGACGAAAAAAAAAGGAATCTCAAAATCCACAAATGTTTATAATTTTCTGAAATATAAAATAGAATGTTATTATCTAGTTCCTGCCATGCCTTAAAGCTTTACCTGCAGGTGTACAGATTTGTCTGTACTCGGAATAAAATACAACCATATTTGCCAAAAGGTTATGATGAACCTTAATATCTGTTTCTAGAAACAATTATATTTTCCTTCCTATGTAACAATAAAAACTAGGGTTGGTCTTTTCACCACCGAAAACACCGCCAAACACCACCGAACACCCAAAAAGACCACTAACCCTTAAGAAAAACAGTAATGGTACACAATAAAACAATAAAATCGAATAAATTACGTAAAATTTAATCCTATTTTTGTCATGTTTTTCACATTTTTATTTGCATTAGTGATGTTAAAAGTTGATAATCAAAATAAAAAAAAAAAACGCTTCCGGATCCAGCAATATTTTTTCAGGATTTACATTGTCTGTATTTCATTGCATATTATCTTATGGTCTTTATTTTTCAATTATTAGAAATAAATCGTTCAAATAAATTTAAACATTTTATTTAATGTGAAATTATCACAATAATTATATTTATAAAAATGTTAGACTTGAAAGTGTACTGTTCTGACAACAGCCCTGCAAGACTGTTCTTTTTGGTTCTCTTGTTATCATTTTCTTATTAATTTGTGTATATATATGTATAAACATATTCATCCTCGTTCAGAAGGTAAGTCAAATATACAAATAAAGATGAAAACAATATATTTAGGTGTGTTAGATGGTATTTTAATGTGTACGGTGGTGTTCGGCGGTGTGTGGTGGTGTTTGGTGGTGAAAAGACCTACCGATTAAAACTATGGCCGTAATGACTTTACAAATATGGTCGAACTGCCGGTATGGCCAAAACGACTGTAGCCGAACTGTTCTGCATCGGACATAACCCTTTCACACAAAATTATACTAAAACTGGCTTTTTCCAGTTTCTAGATTAGGTTTTATATTAAGCCATGTAATTATGTATTATGTATTATCTAATCATACAGTCAAACAAAACTGCAAGAAATTAATATTAAAATATTCGTACTTTGCCGTAATCAGAAGCCCATCTTCATGAAAAGAGTCCAAAAAGATCTGGTTTTCATATTCCAGGGTCTTCATAAGGATATTCACTGACACAATTCTTTATATGATGTGGTTTTGTCTTCATTTACTTCATCATATATGACTCGGTCGGTTCTAAAAAGCAAAGAACATCGCAAAAAATTTATTTCACAACAAAATCCATTCTGATGATCATGGGCGCAGCCATTTTGAAAACAAAAGAAAAAAGATAACTAATTTTATAAATATATAAAATGCTACAATAAATTATTGCGATATAAATCCAAATTTTCCTAAACAATATATAATAATCGCCATAAATTACCCATTTTCACAATGCTACGAGAATAATATATCAATATGATCAATACTTGTTATCATTTAGTTTAACAATGTGAAAAGTCTTTTTTGCGTTTGAATTTGATATCAAATAAATCAGTCCATCCAAGCTGTTGGATGAACAATTCATAATACACTAGAGGAAAGAAGAGTTGGCGTTTATTTTGAGAAATGTAATTTATTCAAATTAACACTTAACCTATACAGTTTAAGATTAATAAACAGGCCATGAATACGGCAAAATAATTGAAAACCGACACCAACGATAAGTTTTATCTAAGATTTAACAGTTAACATAAAAGAGACTGTCTTCCATGTCTGTATCATGTTTAGGTGCGGGAGCGTCTTTTTACCACAGAACACCACAGAAAACCACAGAATACCACAGTACAACCAAAATTTACCACAGAATACCACAGAACAACCAAAATTTACCACAGAATAACCAAAATTTACCACAGAACTTCAAAATTTTAATACTTCAGACATTATTATCGTGTTATTGTTCATTCTTTTTGTAATTTGACATTTATTATTCAAATTAATTTAATTTTTCTATTTTGGGTCGACTCACTATCGCTACGCCCCAAACTGAATGGCCAATAATTGGGATCATACCAAAAACCCCTAGCTATTAAAACCATAATATATAAAGATTATTTATATTTGTGACATTTATATTTTAAATACATTTTAATCTTTTTTATAACTTTAAATCATTTTTGAAAATGTTTAGATGCATTACGTAATTTTTTGTTAAAGGAGTAGGGCCATGAAGGGGTAAAAACGGCCCTGTCTCAGAAATTGACGAAATTACTGCAGAAGGATCACTAACTAGTGTAGTTTATAAAATGATAAACACTAGACTTGTAACTGTGTTTGTATAATTTTCCAGGGCGTCAGAAAAGACCAAGGTACAATGGTTTTTTAGCCATTTGCGCGTAACATTAAAATTGTTTTCATTTATGTTCTCTGTAACTTTATAATCAAATCTTTTTACCACAAGAATTTTTTTTACAAAATATTTCTTGAATCTCGTCCATATATCTTGTTTTTTTTAACTCTATTAACAGAAACTTACTAACAGTATAAGTGACCCGAATACTCGTTTTCTGCATTGATATTCATGAAATAGAAATTTCAGAGACCATGTAAACAAACATAATTCTATAGCATAGATTAAATTAAAAGTCATAAAGATTTTAAAACATAAGCATTGACCGAAGGAATTTAGATTGAAAGCTGTAAAATATCTTGGCGAGCGAAGCACATTCGTAAAAAAATGAGGATAGTTGATCACACCACATCATCTTATTTGTATATGGAAAGAAAACCTGTGATTCACATAAACACAGAAAAGTTTATTTTCTAGTAGAGAAGTAAAAGATGAAAACACAGTTAAAGATTTTGTATGCATTTAGAAATCATTGAACTGAAACTTTATATCGAAAAAACTGGTACATGTATATGTAGCATTTACATATAGATTCTATATTTTTGAGTCCAAAATTAATATTGACCTTAGTAAGTTCACCGACACAATTAAAGTACCAAAATTTAATTAGATTACAGCTCTTCTATAAAAGCATGCAAAGCAAACCTTTTATCAGCTTGCTTGCTATGTTTGTTTGGATGTTTGTAAACAAAAGGTAGGTAGTCTGTTTCAGTCTGTTTACTATATAATGGAATTTGATTGAACAATAAACATTAACTTCATTGCATGTCAATTTTTATTGTCCAATCAAATCCCAGTATATATAAAACAGACTGAAACTCCTCCTACCTATTGTTTGCAAACATCCAAGCAAACATAGCAAGCAAGTGGATCAAAGGTTTGCTTTGCATGCTTTTATAGAAGAGCTGTAACCAATTTTGACACTTGTCGTAATCACCAATCAAGCCAATTAACATGTCATTTAAGTTTTCACACCTGAGACATCAAATAAATTTAATTGAATTATACCTTATATAATCAGGTGGCAACTAGAATCCAAACATTGAAGAATTTTGTAAATATTCCATTATTAATGATATATATATTATATTAAATAGAATGTTGATAGCAGTCTTCCTGTTCTAATTATTGTCAAGTAATTTCAAGAATACATTTTTATAATAATAAAAATTCATGATTAAAATGTTAGCCGATGATCACCATCATTTTAGTTGAAAAATTAAGATAATTGTCTTATAGGTTTATTAATTTCACAGAAAAAATAGTTACATATGAGAAATATTAACTCTTCCTGCCAATCAAGTCAATATTATTCATAGCGTAATTGGCGCCGGTAAAATCTGTTAGGTCAACTTTTTTTTATAGAAATTTGTTTTTTTTACTATAAAGGTTATATTTTCATATAAAATATTCGTTAATCTCGCAGATTTCTTAATTTAATGAAAAAATATTAAAAGAAAAAGCGATATAAGCATATTAGCACTTTCTGTTGATCAGATTAATATAAATCGTAGTGTAATATTCGCTGGTAAAATCTGTCAGATCAACTGTTTTTGTAGAAAAACATGTTTTATTTATATAAAGTTTTTATTGTTAAACGACATATTTAATAAACTCGTAGATTTCTTAATTTCACGAAAAAATATTGTAAAACAAAAGATTTTCACACTTCTTATCGATCAGTTCAATATATTCAAAGCGTATATTGGATCATATTGATCGTGCGGTAATTTTTTTTTGCTCAAAACCATTTTTTTAAATGTTTATTTTAAATTTTCATTATTACAATGCATTAGTTGAGTGTCTCAAAGGTCTCCAAATGTAAAAAAAATATGCCAAATAACAAAAAAGTTATATGATCATTTTTATCTCATCCAATCAATCTTCATGTCATTGGTTTAACCCAAATTAAAAAAATAATGTAATTCTGAATTATTAGATTTGTATTTTATAAAGTAATTCTAATGTTCTGTGGTATATTTTAGTAGTTTTATTGTAATGTGTGTAGTTCTGTGGTATATTTTGAGTATTCTGTGGTGTTCTGTGGTAAAAAGACGCTCCATTTAGGTGCTACTTGTTCATTGTTCGCCGCTATTTACCAAAATATACTGAAATAAACTAAAATGTTCTTGTTAAATGATGTTTTTATAGTGATTATTACAACCAAATAAGTAATTTGTAATTCGTTTGTCAAGCATATGAAAAACAGTAAAATAATGTCTTCTTGTATGTATGTATGTTCTGTATCTTCCTCCTTTAGTAGGAGCACCACCATGGGTTATGGTGTAAAGGAGGACATTTAACACACTGTGAGCATTTGCCTACCCAGTTTCCCAGCCTGGCCGTGACAGGTCTTACTACCAGAAAGTTAACCTTCCCCCAAAACAATAAGTACAATGCAATAAAACATGCAAACACACCCACTCACCTGATTTTCATCCTCAAAACTTTAAAAATGCAAAATATAAAAACAATTATGTACATAATAAAGGATAAGGTCACCCTGGATGCCGCACAAATGCCAAGGCAACGAACAGGAAACTGGTAAGGACATATTTGGAATACAAACCGATACCGCTAAATGCCCAGCTGTTTTCATGGTAGAGTAATGCTGAAAATCCTACGAAAAAAGGATCTCGGAAAGAAACTACTGATCCATTAGGGGAACAGCTAAAACCCTCAGACATCAAATAGATTGGTCTGATAGTTTCCCACATTGAAACTACTAATGGATCCCATCTGACCACATGTCTCAAACAAACCTGAAAATATCTGCAGAAACTTTCCTCAACAAAAAAAAATATAATCCAAAACATAAAATATAAGGAAACACTTCGGCACCAAGACATTTTTTGGCATCCTGTACAAATGACAACTATGCTTAATCTTGGACATTTCAGTTTCAAGACCAAGACAAATCAGAACCTTGTTTTTTTTTAATCAAAACAATTTACAATGAAATTACAAAGACCAAACTTGATTATATTTTAATTTAACAATGATATCCTAAAATTATCATGCTTTAAATATAACAATTAATTAGGTTAAATGACTGAAAGACCCCCTCCTAAATTATTGATAGATATCATTTTACATTAATCAATATATCATAGTACAAATAATTAAAATATTAGTTGCATCAAATCATGATGGCGGCATTCAATTGTGTATTTTTAAAATACATATAAATTGGAATCTTGGTTTTTTTGTATGTTTCATTTTTCTGATATAAAGGTCAAGAAAATATTAACAATAAAACAAGAATTTTGTTAGTTATATTAAAATCCCTAAATGAAATAAGCAAAACAAACAGTTAGAATACATGTACTGCATGTGTTTTATATCTGTGAATATATGAGAATTTCACCAATTTGCATAACATACAAATTGGTGCATGCATGGTGAAAGTTTTATTAATCTCCCCAGTTCTATAAAAATTGGGAATGAATTAAAACAGAAACAATAAAAAAAAAAATTGGCCATCAACACCTAATTCTCCAAATAACTTTTTCATTATCAACATATAGAAGATATTTCATATAACAACTCGATAAATACTGCTTGAAATGGTATGTTCATGGTTATTAAGTCCAACATATTTGCTTCTATTGACCAAAAAAATTCAATTAAACTTCCAAATCTATGACATATATAAAAAAAAACCTACATCAGTACTAGGAAACTTAAATAAGGCTTTAATGGTAGGCCACACAAATTGTTGAAATTATTTAGGTCTGAAAGCTGAACAGTGAAATTTAAACAAAGTACTAGAGTACATATCTTTTTTTATGAGTTGCTGATATGCCTTGATACAAAATTGTCTTTCTTCAGTGACAAAATGTTTTACAGAAGCTGAATTGCCTAATGCAGAAGTGTCAAGAATTTGTATCACCTTACCAGAATGAGAAAAAAAACATCTTTAAAAT